AACAATCATATAAAATGAAAAATGATGTAAGGAACCTAAACATGATTTTTGATTATCTAGACAATGATACCCCACAGACATATTTCGGCAACTTATTTTTTTTTCTTTCTCACAATATGGCGCCCAGTTGCCTCCACGTTGATTTTTGATTATTATCATATCTTTAGTAGCACTCCCATGATTAAGACAAATCGATTGATGTATAAATCATCAAAATCGGTCCACGCGTTTGGTCTCTAGTGTGCCACAAAGGAACAAACATACATATATAGACTGTTAAACACTATACCCTGTCTGCGCGTCGCACTTCGCGCTCTTGCATTGCGCAGTCGGGTAAAAAGATTTGAACATTGTTTCAAAATAAAATCGGATAGCGCGCGCTTTCGCGACTTCCTGTTACACACTTCTGTCCCATTTCACGAAATCACTCCCACAAATTGAAAGATGTTACTATGGCCGTATACAGAAAGAAAGCCGATCGGCGCTTATCGGCGCCGATACTTACTACATAAAGGAAGCCGATTAAAGCAGATCAAGCAAAATGTCGGTCTCATCGGACGATGATTTGGTTTTGTTAGAAAATGTGTATTTAAAAATGCGAAAAAAAGCTATACATCCTATAAATAGAGAAAGGAAACGTTTCGGAGAATACCATCATTTATTTGTAAAAAAATCTAAAATTGATGATCAAAGATTTTATACATATACAAGAATGACTCAAGAAACATTTTATTACATTTTGGATTTAGTGAAAAAACCGTTTGATGAAAAATTGGTGCATTTGGCATTAACAACCAATACTTCCAGAAGAAAGACTTGTTGTCACCATTGGGTAAGTACGAAACAAATAATTTTAGCGCTTAATTAATAAAAGATAAAGTTATTAGATTGATAAAAAGATTATAATTTAGATTGATTTAATCTAAGGATAATAATTCAAATACAAATTATTTATTATTCGGACAACATAGATCATAATGACCAGCTAACCAGCGCGTGTCGATCGGCTTTCGGCTTTCTTTCTGTATACGGCCCATGGGTACGGCCAGAGTGCACTCAGATTCAGATTCAGACTCAGAAAACAAGCGCGAGAAATATACAGTGTAGTTTAAGCAGGTTGCCTGCTGCCACTATGGCCACCCTGCTTTAACTACACTGTTCTGAGTGAGAACAGTGTAGTTAAAGCAGGGTGGCCATAGTGGTAGCAGGCAGCCTGCTTAAACTCTCGTATATTGCTCCTGCTTAAACGTGTATATTTCTTGCGCTTGTTTTCTGAGTCTGAATCTGAATCTGAGTTCACTCTGGCCGTACCCGTACCTTATGGGCGTACCCAGCTTCTGGCCTAGTGGGGGCAAGTCAAATTTTTAGGTGGGATCGTCTACGGCGTTTTGGTCATCACCTACGTTTGATTTTACTCCAACAAAACAATGACGTATAATATATAGACAGGTTATACGCCAACATTATTGCATTTTAAAATGGAACAAGTCGTCCCCGCCCCAAGTTCCCTTTCCATAAAGTAGTCTCTTTCACTCTCATTCATGAAGCAGATTACACCTAGGGCTGCCATCTCTAAAATGTGGCAACCATGATAAGATGCGTGATAACCCCGGATTTTGAAGTCCAGAACCCGGACAGACCAATAAAAAAACAGTTAAAAATGTCACAAATCAACTTTTTTATGTTGATCTAGGCAAAAGAGCTAGCGGTCTACCTCATAATAAGTGGTCACTGCTGCCCATGGACACTTGCAGCATCAAGGGCCACTCATGCGTTGCCGTAAATTTTTAAACTCGGACTACAAATAAAACCCCGCCCGGACGCTCCCCGGACGCCCCGTAAACTAGGACAAATCCGGGGAAACCCGGACGGATGGCAGCCCTAATTACACCTCGCTATTTAAATCGTGTCAACTGTGTCAGCAACTATCAAAATAAATATAGAGTAAATCTCGACGTGAGGTCTGATGTTCGATTTATCAACTTTTCAGGAGAGCCAAATCAAAATCTGTTAAGAAATTTCCAATAAGGTCACATTTATTCTTCTTTTAGGTAAATCAGTATATACTCACGTTACAGTAAACCTTTGTGCTTTTTATTTTATATGTTTTTATTTAACATATTAATAGTAATAATTATACTTTTAATATAAAAAAAAATAGGATATCCGACCTTATGCCTGTACGATTTGACTTTCTAACTAAAGATTTTATGTTATGCTTGAATTTTTTGAATCTATTATGGCCTGATTTAAGGAAGAAACTTAAATTAGTCTTATTTGAAGTTGGGTTAGTTGGGGTTGTAATAAGCCATACACAAATTATGGCACGTTTCTCCGGTGCTCAGCCTCATTTCTCCACAAGATAATCATGGCTTATCCGAAAGTCAGCCTCTTACATATTTGTCTTATTTAGCATATTGCATTAGCCGCCCTTACTGTAACCAACAAGACAGCCACAAACTACAAGATACCCACAATATCTGATAATATGGCTGATCTAAGAGCTCTTGAAAGTAAGCGAATAGCAGCAGATAACGGTGTTATTCTCCAATAGATCAAGGGACATAGCGGCTTCATCGGTAACGACACAGCCGACGAACAAGCAAGAAGGGGATCAATGCTTTTAGTGTTAGGCCCAGAGTCACTGCTTTCATTACATGGATGCGCCAAAAAACCATGCAGAACCACAACACTGACTACTGGATTTATATACCCATTGGTCGGCCGCTGACATGCAATTTTACTTTTGTACGCGGCAGACTATTGGTAAGATACACTTTTCGTATTAGTAGAGTTAAGCTCTAAGTAATAAGCGAAATTAGGATTATTCACTCCGTTAATTGAAACTATATCTAAGAAAATTACGACATAGACAGTAGTCAGTTACTTATGGCTGAACATTGGATCAACATAAAAAATCGAAACCCAGTAGTCAGCCACTTACATTAGAACGTATTAAACAAACAAAATGCATGTTATAATTTATTTCAAAAGCATTTCATTGTACTACAATATAGCAATCCACCGCGGTAACTCAAACGGGTTTCCATGAGAAAAAATCTTTTTGTTTAATGTCTGTGACGGCGGTACAAATGAACGAGCATGGCTCGTATGCATGCGCATTAGCCAATAAGAAGATAAGGATTCATTTAAACGTCATTTTAGAGGTGTAAATTAACATTGATTCTTAAAGATGATTTAGGTATATTTTGTTTTAAATTAATGAGAACTTAATAAAGATTATTTGACTTATTTGATATAACTTAATAAGTAGTTTTACTCAAATTCAGGATACTTAAAAAAATCCAGACAAATTAAAAAGCCGGACAAAAGGGCTAAAAGTCCGGACGGTTATTACCCTAATCACATCGAAATAGTAAGATGCTTACGGTTGCCAATGCGCATGCGCGATTAGAGAGAGAAAGCTAGCGGTCTCTAATCTTCTTTCTCTTTCTATTAAAAGGGACACTTCCATTTGTAGTAGAGTCTATATCTCCCCTACTCTAGATTTATACCTCTATGGTTTGCTTAGTATATTTTTAATAATATTCCATGCTGCTGAGCAAACATTTCTGGCTTTGTTAATGTAAATGTCATTTGAGCTTCTTTGAGCGGAAATCACACTTTTCTTCAACAGCATGCTTCCAATACTTAATCTTATCTAGATAGACTTTAGTTTTGTAATATTGGAATCTAAGCTTCCGTTTTGTTTTGGCTGATATTTTTATGCAATATGAAATCCAGATCGATATTTTTTAAACATCTTGAAATATGTATAAAAATCATAAGTAGTAAAAATAAATAAACTTTCCGATAGATAAATACAAATTTTGTTTATTCATCAAGCACTGTTCATTCAACAATCGTTCATTCTTTATATGTCCCATCCCTAACTTTTGTGTTTTGTACGCTCTACGCTTGTTAATAAAAAATTGTTAGCGTGTGTGCGTTTTTTTATTTGTGTGACGTGATTGTTGAAGTGTGCGTTTATAGTAACAACACGCTCGTGTTTGTGCGGGTATTGCATATTTTCGTTAGTGTGCTATGCGAGTGTACCTCGTCCTCCGCTAAAAATGGCAAAAATATTGTTCGGTGTGTGAGCGGTTTGGCATCCATTGGAATATGCTCTAAGTTCTCAAAAGAATTTAATTTGAATTTTCTGTATTTTGTTAAGGATCTGTCTGTATGAATATCAACATATAATAGTACTCTTTGCTTATCTTATGGAAAAAATAATAATAAGAGTTTTTGGCGGGATTTTATAGAAAGCGGTTGGCGTCATAATTTAATTATTCTTAAATTTGTTCCTAGTGGATATTATGCAATAAAATTGGTGTGATTTTGTGTAACAACCGTCTACGCAACTGAAGAATTAGTGGTATCTTTAAAATATACGCTATTCCGGTCAAATGGACGTGAGAACTTTATTGTGGGGTTGACTACCTCACAGAAGCTTATCGAAAAAGCCAACTCAATACATTTCGTGCCAAACACTCCAAGAAACATAAAAATGCGTCACACCGACATTCTAATGTAAAAATAAAAGAAGATTAATATTACTTAAGACTAGGCTGTATGGGCAATGTTCCCTTTGCCTTTTCTAAAACAGGAGGAACTTAAAAAGAAAAAAAATACAGAATAAACATTTTAATTCTGAACAGCAACTTTGTAGCTTTGAACTGTAGGTTCATAATCGATTAACAAAATTTTGCGTGACATTTTAATTTGACGTTTAATGATTGTACAAACTTGTACTTTCACGTATTTACGTATTTTGCTTTTTATTTGTTCTTTCTTTTCTTCATTTCGTATGATTATCTATATTCTTTCTCTTTATTAAATTCTGTACATTGATTTTTAAATGTATAACTAGTATGTTTAAGCGAACATTTTTGTATAACTTCAAAATGTAGGACTTACATTACATCCTTGTGGTACGTGCGCTTACGATATCAACAAGCTTGAGGTGGCTGGAATTAATAAGTTTAAAAACAACAGCAATGTATACAAAATACAGTAATTTTGTTAAACCGTGTTGTACATATTCGTATAGTGACAATGAAACTATTTTAAAACCCACGCTTCTAAGTGGTGAAGAAGCGAAGCAAATATATCTTAGTGAAGTGGAAACAAGCTCAGAAAAGAAAAGCAAACATTCGCAGGCCAAAGTTACTGATGTCGTTCGGAAGTATCATGATGAACATGGATTTATGAAGTCAGAAATATTAGATAGAGATCTGTTTTTGTCTGCTGAGAATGACGATATCGACACAATAAAACAGGCATTAGATGCTAGTCCAGATAAGATTAAGATTTTGGATGACTATGGTTGGAACTTACTTATGATAGCATGTCAAGCTAATAGCATAAATGTTGTTAAAGAATTATTATCTCGAGGTATAGATACTTCTGTTAGAGATAAGGCAGGTAACTCTGCACAAAGTCTAATTATAAAAAACAAAAATTACGAATTAGCTGATATACTTTTAAGTTACCGAGACAGAAGAAAAAATGAATCTGCTAGAACATTTGCACCTAATCCAGATGAGGAAATTATGGATTTCATCTGTGAAACATGTAATATTAAAGTGACTGCTAATAGAAAAAATCATTTATCTTCAACTGAACATAATTTGAATCTTAGTAAAGGTAAAAAAATACCAACCAATTTTAAAATTCCTGAATCAAATAGGGGATTCCAAATAATGTTGAAAGTAGGTTGGGACAAAGAATCAGGTTTGGGGCCTCAAGGCAATGGCCCAAAGTACCCAATCAAAACTGTACAAAAACAAGACAGGAAAGGTCTTGGACATTCAAAAAATCTTTCTGGTTCTATAGAAAATAAAGAAATTGTGAAATTTAAGAACAGAAGAAAAATGATAAATAATCATAAAAATAATAGGAATATTGAAGTAAATTTCAGAAGGCAATTTTATTGACACCAGTAAAACACTATTTTATGCTGGAATAAATTCATTTTTTTTACATAATTGTCTTTTAATTTGTATTGTCATAATTGTAGTCAATGAGCAATTTCAATTCTCAAGTAATAGGTATATTGAACTAAATTATAACATCAACAACACCAGGACACAATAAAACTTGTAAAATTTATCAAAATAATTATTTATTTCTGAAACAATTCAATCCGAATGGTGTTGGTATGAAGAACTATATTTCTATCTCATAAATGACAAAATTAAAAACTTACATAAAATAAATTATTAACAAACATGATTTATAGTACTTTATATAAAATATTTATATTGTGATTTTTTAAATCTATTTGTGAATTCATGACTTCTATTTCACCTATGATATACTATGTAATAAATAGTATACAAAGGCACCATTTTCTAAAGTAGTTTTCACAAGATCAGGGTGTTTTGAATGATACATTGATAAAAAATAACATTTTCCATTAAACTATAGTAATCCTTAACAATAATATACAATTTATTGCTCTTACTTAAACATTATCAAAGATTAGGTGCCACCCAATCAAGAAACTTAACAGCAATTTCAAAACCCATGAAACAGGCAGCATTGGCAGGGAATGCTCGGAGCATCACTGGTGTTACACCCTTGTAAAGAGCTGTTGGTCCCTCTCGCTCCATTAGCTGTTTAAATACATCTCTCATTCCATTAGGATAAGTGCCTTCTGGGGCTGTCTGTAGCCTACTCTTCAATACATCAGCGGGCATTGCAACAAGCCAATTGGCAATGCCAGCACAGCCACCAGCCACAACGGTGGCTAATACTTTCATCTTGGCACTAGCATCCACAGGAACTAAAACTTCTTTCACCCACTCATAAGTCATAAAGTACATGCCACTAGCTGGCACATCTCTGAGAATTGTGGCAACACTGCCTTTGTATATACTCCTGATACCACCTTCTGCATACAGTTGCTTAGCACAATCAACCATACCACTATACTTTTGTGGGACATTCCCTCCTTGCTGGATCTGTAAAAGGCATTTAATGCGTTCACCTGGTGCCATAATAGAAGTCGTGAATATTCCTGAAAATGCACCAGCAGCAAACAGCTGCGATTTTGTGAGGGCTTCTTCTTCTTTGTTTTTCACTAGTTTTTTGCCAATGCCAAAGCCTAAGAAACTTATAGCGAAAATTGGCGCTACGCCAGTGAGAGGCGCTGACATACCCTTATAGAGGCCTCGGAAGCCTTCCCTTTGAACAGTTTTTCTGAAACAATCCCAAGTTCCTCCATACAAGGCCACTTCGCCAGGTTGTGGAACAGGCATCGTTTGAAGTCTCACTTTAACAGTATCCATCGGATGTCCTGCTAATACTGTGCAGACGCCACCAAATCCACCACTTAGAAAATATTTTGCGGGGCTGCTATTTTCTGACATTTTGACTTTATTAATTTATAAAGGAAGAAGTTACCAAAGTATTAGGAAACTTGTCCTACAAGTTCTGTAAAACTGTTGTGAATGTATCAAGTGAAATTAAACGAAACGTCAAAGCGTCAAGTCAAAGTCCAAAATCTTTTGAAGGCCGGCTACAAAACACTAGTGCCAAATGAGCCTGATTCTCAAAACGAACTATGTCCTTATCATGCTCTATATAGAATGAAAAGGAGAGACTGTTGTCAAATTTCGGTTTAAATGTCAGAAGTAGGCCTAATATTTACTATTATGCCGGCATTTCATTGGGCTACAGTATTTACTATTTGTAAACTTAACAACAGTCTAGACAGACTCCGACTTAAGCACGTTATAGACATAACGTGCTTAATTCGGAGTGAAAAGGACAGAAAGACCTAAAAATTGAAATGAAATGTATTCCCCTCCCCACGTCCCCACAGATTAAGTGAAAGATCTCGGGGTGTAGTGTAGTATAATTTTAATCCATTGCCAATAAATTAAAAAAAAAATATAATTTTAATTACAGAAGTTTGTGAGACTTTGTTTTGCATTGTTTTGTGTAAGTTTCTAGGTTTATCGTAATGAAAATAAAATAATGTGCAGCAATGACTTGTACTAAAGAAGAGATAGAACAAAAGCGCTTGGCAGCGTTGCAAAAGCGTCAGAATAAATTAGTGCCTTCAGTGAATTCGACAAACAAAACATCAACAGATTTGTTATGCTCTCCTTTATCGAGTCCTGCTTTCGCTGGTAGACCTTCTAAGAATCCAGTATACAATAGTAATGCAGGTTTTCATCCATATGCACGACCACCAAGCGGTCAAGGCAGCTCTCGTAACCAAAACACTGTACCCATAGGAAAAGTTATAAGTGGCACAGTTTATTTGATAACTGAAAATCGTTTTGAAGTTAACCCTTCAGAGTTCTGTGTACCACTTATAAACGTTTTCAAAACTATACCGTCTAGGAGCTATGGTTAGTATTACGGGCTAAACTGTACTTCCAGGATCCAAGTGGTGAACTTCATACTAGGTTAGGTTAGTGTTGTGACCATAACGCGCGAGCTGAGCGAGCGAAGCGAGCGTGCCGCGGAAGCGGCCGGCGAAGCGCCAGAATTTTTAATTTAAAAGAGATCTTTTCTAAAAAAAAGGAATTCAAGTATAACCTCTTGGGCCCTGGAAGTACAGTTTTACCACTACATATGATAGATACGCTCGAGTTTTTTTAAAAGCAATCAATGTGTCGTAGAGAGAACACATGGACACATTGATTGCTTTTAAAAAAAATGACAATAGTCACGCACACATTGCGCATTACATGCAACAATATTGTTGATTACATGAACTGTTTTCATTGTATGGTCTATTTGGATTACTCTAACTATGTGTGTATATAATCAAAGGTATTATGTATATTTATTGTAGAAAGTGTATCTTGTGTGTATGTTTGCTACTAAATCACACTAAAATACTGAACAATAAACACAATAAGATTAAAATTGAGATTTGAGATATTAGATACTTTTTATGCCAGAAAAACATGAGGTTCCTGTGGGATCTCAAATAAACTTGAGTAATGGTAAAAAGACAGATTTTCTGAAGTATTTATTCCATATATTCATTCCATTTATTGTATAAGTTTGACCATGACTAGGCAAAGTTATGGTCAAAATTTTACAAATAGAAAAATCTGATCTTTAATGTGCTTCTTCATTAAGACATATAAGGGAAACATTAAATTCCATTTATTTTCTGAAGTTTGTCTGTGGTTATAATAAATTGATATTTTTTTTTAGATAAGCCATTAGTTGATTTTTTTTATTTTTATTTTGTAAGTTTTATGTGTATGCTAGGATATTTTCTTGAGTCAATCTTTTTTTTTATATCATCATCATCATCAGCCTATTAATGTCCCCACTGCTGGGGCACAGGCCTTCCCTATGGATGGAATCCCTATTCCTCCCTAGATTGGTTCATGACCCACCACGCGGGCCCAGTGCGGATTGGCGGGTGCTAACAACTGCAGATGCAGCCGGGACCAACGGCTCCTTTCCCCCTTCCCCCTTTTTTTATATATATAACACTAACTCAATTATCAATATGAAAGAAATCATATAAAATATATTCAATATTCAATTTTTCTAGATGCCAACACAAAGCTGTGGAACTTCTCAGTTAGTGATTATCATGAGTTGATGAAGCAAGTGTCTTCATTAGAACCGTATGTAGTATTAGGTGGACTTCCAACATATGTTTTAAAGGTATCTTAAATTATAGTTATGATGAAAATAACACTAATGTTTAAGGCTCATATTAATGGATCACTCTCAACTCTGAGACTATAATCTTAATATACTGTTTTTATAAAACGCAGCATCTTAAGATCATACTCAAAATGGCTCTCAGAGTTGAAAGTGATCTATTAAAACAGGCCTTAAACTTAGGATGCTTTTTCCTTCTTTTCTTTTGTAAAAATACAGCAATCAAGAAAACCATATTTCTAAAAAACTTGAGACAGATATTACCATAAAGTATTTTAAATTATAAGCATTACTCCTTGTTATTTATAAATTTACTTGAAAAAAATTAATTATGTCTTCATATTTTGTGATATGCTTTTAGGGAATCAGTTTTCTTTGTTTGGGATATTGTACATATTTTTTTTCAGTTTTTATATGATATACTAAAGTAGACTGTGGTTTCATAGAACATTTCTCCAACTGACTGAGATTTTTATCTTGTTTGATAAAAACTTATAAAATCTTTTACTTATATAGTTTTATTACATATTTTGGGAAAATTAGATTTATGGATAATAAACAAAAAGTGACATTATATAATATTAGTCAATTGTTTGAATTAAAGAAATATATTCACCAATTCGGAAGCATATTTATTATATTAATAGCTGGTAACAATGTTTAAGGTTCTTCAAGATCCCACAGTTGATCCAAATAGTATTGATTTGTCACCAGTTGAGTCTACACTAAGAAATAAATTGATGCCATTTCAAGAAGAGGGAGCTAGGTAAGATATTATAATTTATTAGATACAGTACGGGCCATGAAAGATGAGACTTCACAAACTCCCACGCTCTTCCGCACTGTAAGGCTTGTGTTATGGGATGCAGGATACAGATAGAATACACAAACTGACATAATTTGTCATACACATTATGTATATTTATATAGGAATACAAAATAACACCCATGTCTGGAGTACAATTGATCGTATTCATCACACAAACATCTGCTACCACCGAGATTCGAACCCCTCTGGAGTAGGTGACACCTTGAAACCCAGTGTACAAATCACTCGACCACAGTGTTCATCATAGTATCATATCAGTCTGTTTTCTGAAATTCGACACTGGTATCGATTCCGACATGATTCTCTAAACTTAAACTTAAATTTGACAACAGTGCATCCTTGTCATTCTCTATACAGAATGAAAAGGAAAGACTGTTGTTAAATTTAGTTTTAAGTTTAGAGAATCACGCCAGAATCGGCACCACTATGTGCCTATTTTGTGTGTGGAATAGAATCAGTTCTTTCATCCCATCTCCTTAAAGTAGCCCAGCCCCTCTAGCATGACCACCGAAACGGGATATGATAAAGCGATATATCGACATTAACTGTCAGACTACTGCCAAACTCCATAGTAGTCTGACAGTTAATGCCGATATATATCGCTTTATCATATCCCGTTTCGGTGGTCATGCTAGAGGGGCAGGTGTTTTAACATAAAAAAATAATAAAAAAGTTATTCAACAAAATCTCTACTTTTAAATATAACCATTTTCGTCCTTAATAAGTACATTATTATGTAGTATAATAATATTACGTAATATAATTATATCGCTTTCATATAAATATTTATGTTACGGTATATAATTATTGCGTCTCTTTCTGTTTCAAGTTAGTAGTAATTACCTTGAGGAGCTCGATGGCGCAAGTAGATAGCGAGTACGGCTGCGATTGTTGAAGTTCAGTAACTTTCGTAGTGATCGGTCCTTGGATGCGTGACCAAAAACGTATTATCTTAAGCTCCTCCCAGTTTCGCAAGGCACGTTAAGCCGTTGGTCCCGGCTGCATCTGCAGTCGTTAGCACCTACCAATCCGCGGGCCCGCGTGGTGGATCTTGGCCCAATCTACCAATTCCATCCATAGGAAGGCCTGTGCCTAGCAGTGGGGACATTAATAGCTGATGATGATGATGAATGAACTGTAGACCGTCGAAGCGTCGATAAACGTAGACCGTATTTATACCAACGCAAGTCGCTGCGATGAATTTTCCTTCCGATTCCGTCGGCCTAGGCACGTCTTAGAGTATCCCTACGACGAAATCACCCGTGCCAACGCGCTTCCGACTCCTCCCATACAGGCTACAAACATCAACACTACACAGCTAGCATTCTTTAATAGGCTGGTGATGATATTGCTTTCAACAGATACGGCATCTCACGCCGCGGCCGCTGCATGATAGCCGATGACATGGGCCTGGGTAAAACGTTCCAAGCGCTCGCGATCGCAAGTTACTACAGACATAATTGGCCGTTGCTGATCGTCACCACGTCTTCCATGAGGTTGTTGATAATTAAGTTTTTAGGTCCTCTTAAACTTTTGCTGCTTATACTAATTTGATAGAGTTCGACAAATTGATTTTAAAGTATCTTAGTCAGACCCGTCTTTCCCAGTGGGCACTTTGGGCAAGTGCCCAGGGCCCCGCGATTGATAGGGGCCCACCTCAGATCACAAATACAAAGTCCCTGGTTCCTGTTAGATTACCAAACGGGCGTCATAGGGGGCCCCATTATCCTAATATGCCCAGGGCCTCTAATAGGTCAAAGACGGCACTGATGATCTTAGTATAAAGAACTCTTTGAAATTAGAACTATTTTTGATTTGTGGTATCACTATGCCACTGTGAAATAATCCTAAACTGCTTAGTATCGTACTAAGCTGTTTAGGATTAAACGTAACTTGAAAATTTAACAGTAACCATCCAAAAACTAAATATATAATTTGCATGGAACTAGATTAAGATAGTGTGAATAGTATTTATATTGATTGTTGTAAATAATTTATATAATTATTAAAAAAAAAATATGAAGAGCTCGATGGCGCAAGTGATTAGCGCGTTTAACTGCGATCGTTGAAGTTAAGCAACTTTCACAGTGGTCGGTCATTGGATGGGTGACCAAAAATTACCCCGCAGAATCCTTATGGAAACTGGCTCTCGGCCAATTTTTCTGTAACTTTGGGAGATGATAGCTCATGACACGTGGAATAAAAGACCCCTTGGGCCCAATGGCCAAAAGTTCATAGATGAGGAGCTACAGCGTGTTAAATTCGAAAATGTACGGCTATATACTTAATGTTTCTGTTGAACGTGAATTCAGAAATGGTTTTGGTGATGTACAAATATGTTTTTCGGGTCACTCTGCCGAATCCAGAGTCTATTCGATCCAGTCGAGTCAGCATCAAGGCCAGTTAAAGGCCAAACCCAGAAAAATACTGATCTGGCCGGGATGTGTGAATATCCACCGCCTGGAAGTGTTTTTCTCTATTTGAACTTGAACTAACCTTAATGCTGATACGATTGGATAGAACAGACTCTGGATTCGGATTCAGTGACCGGAAAATATGCGGATCTGTGGGTTTTCATCGCTAAGGAAGCATTGTTCTCGATTTGACCTTGGAATGACCTTCATCCCGAGCTGATCGTGTCGAGCAGACATCGGATTTGGATTCAGCAATTCAGAAAACAGTTGTATAGATTTTCACCACCTTGGATGCTTGGAAGTATTTTTCTGAATTTGGCCTTGAACTGACCTTCGACCATTCGGATTGAGTGACCCGAAAAATATATGTGTACATCACCAAAACCATTTCTGAATTCACATTCAACAGAAACATTATACAGCCGTACATTTTCTACTTTGACGCGCTGTAGCTCCTCATCTATGAACTTTTGGCCATTGGGCCCAAGGGGTCTTTTATTTCACGTGTCATGAGCTATCATCTCCCAAAGTTACATAAAAATTGGTCAAGAGCCAGCTTCCATAAGGATTCTGCGGGGTCCTTTATTATCACGAGCTTCTCCGTGCTTCGGAAGGCACGTTAAGCCGTTGGAGCCGGCTGCATCTGCAGTCGTGAGCACCCACCAATCCGAACTGGGCGCGCGTGGTGGGTCATGGCCCAATCTACCTATTTCAACCAAAGCGAAGGCCTGTGCCCCAGCAGTGGGGACATTAATAGGCTAGATAACGAATTATTTTTACAGGGAAACCTGGCAGAGTAAAATTCACGAGTTATTACCATCTGTGCCTTTGATGAATATTGTGACCCTAACCACTGGGAAGGACGTGCAATTAGTAGCTGATCGTCAGGTAAAAGAATAATACGTAATTTAAATGATAATAATTTAATTAACTAGAAAATTAAAGCCTTCCCTTAATTTCTGTAAAACACTTCACACTCTTAATTGTCGGTTATGGTTATGGTAGCCTTGATCGTCATTTGGTACATTAAGGTTCTACATTCAGTCTATCTGTGAATGTATTCTTTTTTTCTTTGCAGACAGAAATAGTAATTGTTAGCTACAAGATCACAAGTATGCATACAGATTTACTGAAGAATAAGAAGTTTGGTTTCGTCATTATTGTAAGTATCTTTTAACACTTTTTGATTAAGTCACTTTCTTGTAAGTCTGTCGTTCCCATGTGTCGCTTAAAATAAAAAAAAAAACACAAAATTAATAACATAGATGTTCTATGTCCAATTTATTAAATTTTGTATGATTATAGAACTAATGGCGGCAACTTAAAAAATATATAATCAGCATCGAAGGCCGCGGTCAGATTAGTATTTTTGATAATATATTTTAAATCCGTGGCCTACGACATTGTAAAAATTAAACTATCAATTTTAACTTTTTCTTTGCTTTTGATAATTTAGAACCATTTTTTTTGTATGAATAATTATTTCAAGTGTGTCATCAATAGCAATGTCCTTCATATCGTATTCGGACGAGTCTCACTACCTCAAGTCTCACAAGGCGCAGTGCACGCTAGCGTTGCGCGGCATCACTGAGCGGCACTCCCGCGCATTTCTTTACCTAATTTTGTCAGTTTGGAACTGTAATTAAGAGCGAACTATTAGTTAATTGTCTTAAAAAACGTAACATCAATACCAAAGGCCTTCGTATCGTATTGTATAGGACGAGTCTCACTACCTCAAGGCGCAGTGCACGCTAGCGTTGCGCGGCATCACTGAGCGGCACTCCCGCGCATGTCTTTACCTTATTTTGTCAGTTTAGAACTGTAATTAAGCGCGAACTATAAGTGATTTGCCTTAAAAAAACGAGACATCAATACCAAAGGCCTTCGTATCGTATTGTATAGGACGAGTCTCACTACCTCAAGTCTCACAAGGCGCAGTGCACGCTAGCGTTGCGCGGCATCACTGAGCGGCACTCCCGCGCATGTCTTTACCTTATTTTGTCAGTTTAGAACTGTAATTAAGTGCGAACTATAAGTGATTTGCCTTAAAAAAACGTGACATCAATACCAAAGGCCTTCATATCGTATTGTATAGGACGAGTCTCACTACCTCAAGTCTCACAAGGCGCAGTGCACGCTAGCGTTGCGCGGCATCACGCGGCAATGTTCCCGCGTGGTGCTACTGAGCGGCACGCCCGCCCTCAGCCGGCCCGCTGAGTTGTACACGCAGCTCGCTCTCATTCAACCCTCGCTGTTCCCCTCTTACACAGAATACGGTGAGACGACCACACTGCGATTCACACTTTATGGTGACTGTGAAGTTAGCAGCGAGCGCAACTATGTTCAAGTTTCAGTTCACTGACATCCTACGCGCACCTACCTAGGGTTACCATTTCGGAATTTCAAAAGTCCTGACAAAAATCCTGATATTTCGAAAAAAAAAGTCACTTAGTTACAATTGTATAGTATTTAAATCAAAATGTACCTTTATTATTCGTATCCAATGTAATTTAAAAAATCCGGACAATTTAAAGCTCCGGGCAAAGTCCGGACAATAGTCTAAAAGTCCGGACTAATCCGGACGGATGGTAACCCTACGCGCACCTATATTGCGACAAGGATCTTTATGAATGTAGCGAAAATTCAAATTCAATATTAATTTGTTCAGTTTAGGCTTTTACATAGTCTAGTCAACAAGTGCCTTTTTGGTCAACTTTTTTCCGCAGTCTCCAAAAATTATGATCAAGGTTTCATTCGATTCGGAATGACATCTAGATGATTTTTGAAAAAAATGAAGTTCCGCAAACAAAAATTGCAAAAGTTATTAACAATTAACTAAAAAAAGGGGGGGATTTCGTTTTTTGCAAATATCTCGAAAACTAATAAAGATATTTCAAATTAAAAAAAAGATTCAAAAAGAGGACGAAATTTCTTTAAAAAAAGCCGCGACTCCCGGAACTGTAGGACCAATATTTATAACATTATAGCTATTAACGGGATTGTTACCATGTACCTTGTTTTTTATGAGTCTCCGTGATCATGGCGCTTGCAACAGTGCCGAAATATCAGAGACTCATAAAAAACAAGGTACATGGTAACAATCCCGTTAATAGCTATAATGTTAATGACCATGAAAGTTTAAAACAATATATCAATATTTATAATTTTCCCAGAGGGATGAAAATACGGCCGAAAACGGGTCCTCTGGCTTGCGTAAGCCACGCCTACTTTGGGCACTATTAATAAAAAATATTTTAACATGTTAAATATAAAATTTAAGAAATGAAAAATTCAGAGTCTTACTGGATAGATGAATGAACAATAATCCGCGTGAAATTTTTTTTTATCACAATTTTTCAATTAGTTATGTAATTGTTAATTAACAATTTTTTCCGCTTGAACATGAGCATTGCAAGTGTGATTATTGTAAAACTATAAATTTGAGATTTTTTTCCTCTCTTGGAGCAATTCTTGAAAGGCTTTAGAATAGATCTCCGTTGGAAAAATTAAAAACAAATATATTTTTCAGTTTTTTATTAACAATTATCGCGTGGCTTACGCAAGCCAGAGGACACGTTTTCGGCCGTATTTTCATCCCTCTGGGAAAATTATAAATATTGGTTCTACAGTTCCGGGAGTCGGGGCTTTTTTTTAGGAAATTTCCTCCTCTTTCTGAATCTTTTTTTTTAATTTGAAATATCTTTATTAGATATTTGCAAAAAACGAAACCCCCTTTTTTTTTAGTTAATTGTTAATAACTTTTGCAATTTTTGTTTGCGGAACTTCATTTTTTTCAAAAATCATCTAGATGCCATTCCGAATCGAATGACACCTCGATCATAATTTTCGGAGACTGCTGAAAAAAGTTGACCAAAAAGGCACTTGTTGACTAGACTATACAAGCACATGTGAAAGTCGAAAGCTACGCCATTGGTTCGCAAATCTACGGCGGGCGACCTTGTACTGAGAAGAACCGGCAAGAAACTCAGCAAGGGCTGCTTTTTTTCTCCCTGTATTCTTTCATACAGTGTCGTCAAATTGAAAGCTGGCATCAAACACATAAACATTTATCGAGGTTAAACTTCCATCACGTAATGTAAAAGCAAGTAAACAATTTTCAAAATACATGAGCAAGTTTAAAAACAGTCACTAAGTGCAAGATTTTCTTCAATACTCCTTTATTACATACATGATATTGATGTTACTTGAGGAGACAAGTTTAATACAACTTTGAAAATTTCTTAAGGTAACAATTACGAGCAGGCGGTTTTATCATTCAAATATTGTTAAACTGTGTAATATCCTTTCTTAAGCAAGCAATTTTTAATGTGGGTTTTAAATACATCGAGGCAAATCAAGAATATCACTGGGAATCTTATTATAGAAATATATACCATTATATGTAAGTAAACGTCATATTTTGTATGTTATTTAAGTAGACAACAGCGCCCTCCCTGAACTGTCACTCACATTCATAAAGATCCTTATCGCACTCAACATCACTACTTTTCGATTACTGCGCAGTCACTTGCGCTATTTCACAGTCGCCATTAATTTATATTTTATTGGTTTACCAACAACGATCACATTAATATTATAAAGGCGAAATTTTGTGAGTGTGTATGTTTGTTACTTCTTCACGTCTTAACGGCTGGAGCAATTTTAATAAAATTTGTATGGAGTTAGCTGACACCCTGAATTAACACATAGGCTACGTATTACTGGGAAAATATCCCTAATAAACCGCGGGTAACACCGCGGGCAACACCGCGGGTAACACCGCGGGTAACACCGCGGGCAACACCGCGGGCAACACCGCGGGCCACAGCTAGGTAAGTATAAACCGCACTATACACTATTGAGAACTCGATGACGCAGGCGTATAGCGCGTTCGGCCTGCGATCCTCGAAGTTAAGAGCGGGGGCGAACTGAGAGACATTTGCGAATAGATATTTGAAAAAACTATTGCTGGGCAAATACCGCGATAGGGACAACAGTAGCTAACGCTGAAAATCATAAAAATTAAAATAACCCGAGGTTTGGCTCTCGACGATTTCCTCCGTGAAAATTAGATCCATTTTACCCATAGAATAATAAGTAGATATACTAGGCCTCTATGTTTTTATGTGAATTTTTTTTGTTTATTTTTGGCATTTTTGAGGACTTCTATGTTGCCTTCAAACACAATTTTACAAAAGAAGGAGGACATAGAAGTATAGAATGAGTAAAATTTTATTTTATGTATGGAAATCACTTCTCTATTGTCAAGAACCAAGGAGGAATCAGCCGAGTTTGTATGGATAAAACATTGCCCGCCTTCCCACTTAAGCAACTTAACAATGATCTGACCAAAAAGTTACTAACTCGGGCTCCTCCGTGCTTCGGAAGACACGTTAAGCCGTTGGTTCCGGCTGCATCTAAAGCCGTTAGCACCCACCAATACGCATTGGACCCGCGTGGTGGGTCATGGCCCAATCTCCCTATTCCATTCATAGGGAAGACCAACTGCTCTTCTCACACCCCAGCAGTGGGAAACATTAATTTGTACCCGAGTCATCAATAATATATGTACTTATCTGTGTATGTACATATTTCTATCCCGTAATAAAGGCTTAAATAAAACACCTTTTAAACGAGTTTGAACTGTGCTTTTTAATATTTTAACATATTGCCGACGCTTCGGATCAGATTGGTTCAACTGTCAGATCATACAGTCAACGATATTAAATACCCTAGATACACCACGTGCGCTCAAAATGTGTCCCAATCAAGAAGTGCTTGAACACCACTTAAGTACTTTACGGTTCACAGTCACGCGCGGACCGTTGAAAAGTCAAGATGCCGAAAAGGTTCGTGAAAAAATGCGTAAAATATACTTATAGTATGTAAAGTGTCGTTTTTTCGACAGGTATCGAATCAATCTCTTATCTATTAGACAAGTCCGTCTGTCTGTAGTGCTGTTTCAGCGGCCAAACCGTACGAGATAGATAAAGAGAATATTTAAGTTATAAGTTAAGAATAGTCTGATAAGACTACAAACCGGATTTGAGTAACGTAGCACTTCCGGTTTTCGAGAAATCAGGTTTTGGTGAACATTTGGTTCACTGGTTTGCTAGTATTTGTTAATTTAACTCATTATAAGCAAATTTTATGCATAAAAGTCGACTTTCAATGTTTAAATAATGCCTTATATTGTTTTTGACTACGCGATTATCTTACGGAGCTCCGTGGATCGTCCAATGTACTTTTGGACAGGTTTGAGGCACGATTTTGTTCGTGTTGGTGTATCTAAGGTATTTAATATAGTCTAATTAGTGTGTCTGAGAAACAATTGTTTTATTAATTTATTTAATAAAGTCACGTATTAGGCAAGAGGTACTGTGCGGGCAAACAAACTACGTTTGGCTGGGACATGTCAGGCCAATCGCATCTGGCAGAACTGCAGGTCATATTGCAGAAGAGGTTCCTCATCAGACGCACCAAGGACGAAGTGCTGACGAAACTAGAGAGTAAGACTAGGTCCGTATCAATATAGATTTGTGCTAAAGGTTATGTCGTCATCTTCTTCTATTATACAGGTTGTAAAAAACCTTTGACAAAGATTGAAAATACGCATTCTGTACACCTAAACAAGTTATATTACAAAATATTAAAAGTACGTGGGAATCATTTGTATTTATAATTTAAAAAAATACATTTTTTTGCAGTACGCAATGTATAGCACGGCGCGCTACTGTAGCGCTACGCAAAGAATGTGCCTGTGTGTATGTGTGTGCGTGTGTGTATGTGCGTTGATAATAAAGTTTCTAAATAACGTTTTGAAAATATTAATGTATAAATATTGAAAAAAAAAAACCTTCAATATCTCAGTAACCATAAAAAAAAATGATCATCATGATGTGGAAAATACGTGGCCTTCGATTTCGGTAAAGGATTTTTTACAGCCTGTATAGTCTAGTTGTCACTACCATTGTATTAAGTTTGTATTTACATTCTAATTTGTCACAATCACAACCCTCCAACTTAAAAGTGGTTTTTCACGATAAGATATCCTTTATTCACCTTATGATATACATACATCCTACGAATAATTTCAATGTTATGTCAGATTTCTTTATGTGAATGTGAGATTAACAAAATGTTTGTGTATCTTAAATTAAGGTTATATAATGGTCTCGATTCTGGCATGATTTTCTATTTTACACCCTTCTACCAAATTATTAAGGGTAAACTATAATCCGCCCGTGACTTCGCCTGTGTTATAATCAGATTTTTTGAGAATCCTACAACCTAACATATTACCGAGATAAAATGTATTGTATTGTAATGTAATGTATAGTACGCTTACGCTTTTAAACGAAATGAATACTAAGGAATATTTTTTTGTCGTTAAGCAGCATAGGTTTTCTTTAATACCAAACTCGGAAGTAATTTTATGGTAAAACATAGATGGCGAGACAGCCAAAGCATGCTTAATTACCTAATAAAAGTAATTTTGTATGGACAAATAGATGGCAGGCGGGAAAGCTAAAAGCGTGTTGTTTATCAATTTACAAGCATGCTGTTGTGCTTTTATTAAAAAGCAAACTTTTTTAGCTGCTTATCGTTAAACGCTCACTTCTAACCGTTAGCTCCCACCAATCAGACCCGCATGGTGGGTCATGGCTAGGGTCACCATTTAGGAATTTCAAAAGTCCTGACAAAAATCCTGACATTTCGAAAAAAGACCGGACTTTTTAGTCACAGAATGGTACCATTACTCACTTAGTTACAATGGTATGGTTTTTAAATCAATATGTACTTTTATTATTGATATTCAAATCCTGAGAAAATCAGGACTATAGGCTATAAGTCCGGACATGTCCGGACTAATCCGGACGGATGGTAACCCTAGTCATGGCCCAATCGATAGAGACGGCCTATGCCCCCGAAGTGGGGACATTAGAGTGATGATGATTATGTGTTCAGGGAGACGGTTCTACTGGACTCGTCGCTAATATTGCGGTCTGCGTCGGAGGAGCGCGGCCTATCCCAAATGGCGGAAGCTTGCCTCAACTCTCGCCCTACGGAGCGCCACGCGGCCCTGCTCACGTTCTTCAGCGAATCGGCTAAACTCAAAATACCAGCCATTTGGTAAGTTCATAGAATTCTTCATAGGTTTTACCGATTAGTATCTTGTAATTTCTTTGCAATTGTTTTTTTTTTAATTCTTTCTTTTTAACATTATTTATTGGTAAATTATGCAGTACTTTAATGGTGTTGATTTTGGATGAATCTTTTAACTTAAAGTTAAATTTTACAACAGTGTATCCTTGTCATTCTCTATACAGAATGTGAAGGAGAGACTTGTCATTCTCTATACAGAACGAAAAGGAGATGCTGAAGGTAAATTTTATTTTAAGTTTAGAGAATCATGCCAGAATCGACATCAAATTTATTAAAAATATATTAAAAAGTAGAAATATCTAGGTGTGTCTTATGTTTGCTCGCACACAAGTCTTTAATAAAACACTTTTTGTATGGTTAGGTGTTAAGCACTATTTATTTGATTAACTTTTAAACATTTTGTTGTAGCAAATACATAAAGCAGCTATTAAAAGAGATGCCATCGGGGAAGTTCCTTGTGTTCGCTCACCACCGTATCGTGATAGACGCGGTGTGCGACACTTTAGACGAATGCAGTGTCAACTATATATGCATCGTGGGGACCACGCCCCCGGCCACTAGAGCAGTAAGTCAATGATACCGTTACGTATCGGGATGCTATGCGGTTCGGAATTATATGCCAGTTCCTTAGATGAAAACAAAAAGGGAAGATACGGTACGCTCGTACTAGCATCAAATAAAATATGCTCCGACTCAACTACATATGCATCTCACGCACGCACACGTCTGTAAATAAACATTCAATCGAGCGAGCGAGACAGAACTATATATATATCTTTATATATATAATTCTTCTGTGAGTGTGTATGTCACTGAACTTCTCTTAAACCACTGGACCGATTTTGATGAAATTTTTTGTGTGTGTTCAAGGGGATCTGAGAATGGTTTAGATTCACAAAGACGTGTTGACAAGACAACGTCTGTCGGGTCCGCTAGTTTAAATATATATATAACATTCACGAAAAACCGTGTTTTTTGAGTTTTTTTTTTACATTTTTTACGAACGAAAAGTGTTGCCGAGGCTTTTGTTATTTGATTTTGAACTATTTGTGTTCTTTATAAAAGCATCGAAGGGATTGTTTTAACTTTATAACATAGAATATACGCAATATGTATCTGAAATACAGTTTTTTAAACTAGTGCGGATATCAACGCTCCAACCCTATGCATATTGTTAATACTTACAACACAGCTTAAAATAATATGTAAGCTAAATGTGTAACAATTTAAAAGGAATAAACGTTTTATTATTTATTTTATTATTATTATAATATTGTAATATTGAGTGCACATGCAGCGTGTTTTATTGTCCAACTGTGACTAAAGCGAATTGTGGTCATGCACCACAATTTAAGCGGATCACTTTTGTTTGAGCCGCGAGTGCCGTATCTTCCCTTTTTGTTTCAATCTAAGGTCAGTCATGTTTGACAGTTCTTCTTTCACCACACAGTTCACACCGTTCTTTCATAAACACAAGTCTACTCACTCACACTTGAATACTACTTGTACTTTGATCGCCTTTGTATTCGCTTCGTAATCGCTGTTGAGTTGATGCTCAACTAACTACTGCGCTACGCCAACACGTTTATATGCGCCAATCATCGATATTAAATACCCTAGATACACCACGTGCGCTTAAAATGTGTCCCAATCAAGAAGAGCTTGAACACTCACAGTCACGCGCGGACCTTTGAAAAGTCAAGATGCCGCAGAGCTCCGTGCAAAAAAAAAAAAAAAAAAAAGGGTGCGTGTACTTATGTAGGCGCGTGAGAAGTTATCCTTCTTTGGCATCGTTTAAAATTAGTTTTTAATTGTATGCAAATAATTAATTACAATAAATTAATAAAAAGTCTGGAAAAGGACGAAGTCAATAAAGTTCAGTTTTAATTTGAAAAAATAAATAAATAATCAATATATTCAATTAAAATCGCTACTGAATATAATTTATTAGAACAAATGTGATTTGCACTTGTATGAAATCAAACACGTATTCCGAATATACAAACTAGAAACATGTGGATAAATATTATAAATATGAATACCTATAACTGTTACTTTATTACAAAAAATAAAGATGTGGTTTTTGGTTCTACTACACCAATGGTCAAGAGATGGCGCTGTAGTCTCCTGAATCGCGCTTTGGTTCCGTTGTTCCAGATTAATAAATACTTATGATAGGCCTTCACAATGCAGTCGTTAGCACCCACTAAATAGAGATTCTATTTCTATTTTGTTGGTATATTTTCTTAATGTGCGGTAAACACAAAAGTAACGCATGAAGTTGGTGTCCCAACTTCAATATTGTAAAATTTTGTGTTACAGTGATGCGCGCGCATCTTAAAATTTCACTCTCATCAATTTTTCATAACGCGCCTAAAGAAGTATAACTTCAAAAATACTTATAGTAATCAAAGTGTCCTTTTTTCGACAGGTACCCAATCAATGTTTGTTAATTGAAGAAAATTTTGTTCTGATACTTACTATAAACTGATTTATTAGAAAATATTTGTGATATTCAAATGCATGGTCGGTAATATAGCCTTCTGTTTTCCTCGCGGTTCGTACCTGCTGTCGTCCGTAACATTGCATTCAGAATTCCGCGTAGAGTCAAAGAAATAAGGTCTAAATTCTTCCGCATATAGCAATAAGACGTAAAATTTTACGAGCTTGCATTTCGAACTGTCATAACTCTATGACGCTTGCGTTTTAATTAAGACCTTATATAGTACGCATTAAATGTGACTTCCAATGTTTAAATTATGTCTGAGTCTGAGATATATTGTTTTGACTACACGATCATCTTACGGAGCTCCATGGATCGTCCAATATACTTTTGGACAAGTTTCGGCCACGATTTTTTTCGTGTTGGTGTATGTTGGTCTTTAATATCGTTGACGCCAATCGACGAATTCCAGAGGAGTTCAGTTTAATTAAGAGGTTACTAACAACAGCGAGTACGTAGTGCAGTCAGCTTCATAAAAGTATGAAGTATTAAGGTAGTCAAATATATGCTAAGAGCAAAGGTTCAATAATATCTTTGCATTTAAAACCATCTAAATATTGTACACAACCAACCAGTCTTATATTTCTTCAGATCAAGTCTCCAAATACATAACCATTACAATGATCTTTAATATGTACACGTCATAACTGTTCATTGGTATCTTAGTGTCCATTGTACTCATAAATATCTTCGCTTACATAGATTATACAATTGAAATAAAATTAAAGGTTCTAGCACACATATCAACTCGGAAAGGGATTGTCACCGTAACAACTCGAGCCAATTAGTTTTCTTTGTATAAAACTTCAATAAATAATTGTGTGATTATTATATATATAATTGATTATCTTAACACATAACAATGAATTATGTTGTTTCAATAATATTGACCACTTTGGCCGGTTACAACAATAAGATTATGTAACGGCGCATAATAAATTAATTTATGTATCGTCGATAATTTTGATCAGTTTTCACACTTCGATTTTTATGGAGCTGACTGTACCTAGTATACGTAGGTAACGCGCATGAGTTGTAAACTAGTCCGTTGCACTTTCACCCTTACGCCGCAGTGCATAAGGGTCATATTAGAATCAACCGCACTACTCGGCCTTTATCGAGATCATTCACATCGCGACCCGCGGCGCTCCGGTCAAATCTTTTTCCAGCATGTTCGCGGTTTTGTTTCGAGAGCGTTCGTGACAATATCTTTTATAATTCGTTGATCCCACACTATAAATCGATTCCTTTCTGTTTCTCAGGATTTGGTAGACAAGTTCCAGCATTCGGTTTCGTGCCGATGTGCCGTATTATCGATAACGGCCGCTAATTCCGGCCTCACTCTCACCGCCGCCAATCTAGTGCTGTTCGCTGAATTACACTGGAACCCGGGGGTAAGTCGATATGAATACTTTACTTTACAAGACCTTACTTTTTCTCCAAGAGGATTTAGTAGTCAAATTCCAACACACGGCTTCGTGCCAATGCGCTGTGCTTTCGCTAACCGCCGCTAATTCCGGTCTTACGCTGACCGCTGCCAATCTCGCTAATTGCTGAATTAAACTGGAACCCGGGGGTGATATAAGGTGAACACACATAAAGTAGAACATTTAAATAGTGAGTGTTTTGTTGTTTGTTTTCACGCTATCTTTTATTAAAACACTTTTTGAATGAAAATAATACTAGAAAAAAGTCCAGCACCAGGCAGCAGACGTTTAAATGCTTAAAAAAATTGAAAATCTTAACTTTTTGAATTAGTAAAAAACTCCATTGTCGTTGACTGTTCTGAACTTGTAAAAGATTCCAGCAGGAATAATGTAATAATTAGCGCTTTGTACTCTTTTAAAATATTTTTAAGTAGAAAGCTGCATTTTTAACCATACTCTATTAAAAAAAAACAATATACCATAGATCTTAATAAGTTTTTAAAGGTTTTATTGAAGCCTTTATTTCGGGTGGAATCTAGTAACTCAATTTTGAAGCAGCATTTTTATCTTCATTCGATTGAGCTGAAAATTTTGACGAATGCTTTTGTTTAGATTCTGAGTCAAGCGGAGTCGCGCGCGCACAGAATAGGACAGACCGGCGGCGTGTGCGCGCGATACTTACTGGCGGCGGGCACCTGCGATGACGTCATGTGGCCCCTGCTGCGGGGCAAGCTGACCGTGAGTATGGGGGGGGGGGGGGGATACTTACTGGCGGCGGGCACCTGCGATGACGTCATGTGGCCCCTGCTGCGGGGCAAGCTGACCGTGAGTATGGGGGGGGGGGGGGATACTTACTGGCGGCGGGCACCTGCGATGACGTCATGTGGCCCCTGCTGCGGGGCAAGCTGACCGTGAGTATGGGGGGGGGGGGATACTTACTGGCGGCGGGCACCTGCGATGACGTCATGTGGCCCCTGCTGCGGGGCAAGCTGACCGTGAGTATGGGGGGGGGGGGGATACTTACTGGCGGCGGGCACCTGCGATGACGTCATGTGGCCCCTGCTGCGGGGCAAGCTGACCGTGAGTATGGGGGGGGGGGGGATACTTACTGGCGGCGGGCACCTGCGATGACGTCATGTGGCCCCTGCTGCGGGGCAAGCTGACCGTGAGTATGGGGGGGGGGGGGGATACTTACTGGCGGCGGGCACCTGCGATGACGTCATGTGGCCCCTGCTGCGGGGCAAGCTGACCGTGAGTATGGGGGGGGGGGGGATACTTACTGGCGGCGGGCACCTGCGATGACGTCATGTGGCCCCTGCTGCGGGGCAAGCTGACCGTGAGTATGGGGGGGGGGGGGGGATACTTACTGGCGGCGGGCACCTGCGATGACGTCATGTGGCCCCTGCTGCGGGGCAAGCTGACCGTGAGTATGGGGGGGGGGGGGGATACTTACTGGCGGCGGGCACCTGCGATGACGTCATGTGGCCCCTGCTGCGGGGCAAGCTGACCGTGAGTATGGGGGGGGGGGGATACTTACTGGCGGCGGGCACCTGCGATGACGTCATGTGGCCCCTGCTGCGGGGCAAGCTGACCGTGAGTATGGGGGGGGGGGGGGATACTTACTGGCGGCGGGCACCTGCGATGACGTCATGTGGCCCCTGCTGCGGGGCAAGCTGACCGTGAGTATGGGGGGGGGGGGATACTTACTGGCGGCGGGCACCTGCGATGACGTCATGTGGCCCCTGCTGCGGGGCAAGCTGACCGTGAGTATAGGGGGGGGGGATACTTACTGGCGGCGGGCACCTGCGATGACGTCATGTGGCCCCTGCTGCGGGGCAAGCTGACCGTGAGTATAGGGGGGGGGATACTTACTGGCGGCGGGCACCTGCGATGACGTCATGTGGCCCCTGCTGCGGGGCAAGCTGACCGTGAGTATAGGGCGGGGGGGGATACTTACGGGCGGCGGGCACCTGCGATGACGTCATGTGGCCCCTGCTGCGGGGCAAGCTGTCCGTGAGTATGGGGGGGGGGGGATACTTACTGGCGGCGGGCACCTGCGATGACGTCATGTGGCCCCTGCTGCGGGGCAAGCTGACCGTGAGTATGGGGGGGGGGGGGGGGATACTTACTGGCGGCGGGCACCTGCGATGACGTCATGTGGCCCCTGCTGCGGGGCAAGCTGGCCGTGAGTTTTTTTTTTAACTTTTTTGACGTATGCATCCATTTCAGGCTGCGTTTTTTAGAATTAATTTAGTAATTCTGACGACGCAGCCTAAAAGGGATGCGTAACGCAAAAAAAAGTGATAAAAAGACATATTGAGCAAGTTTAAGCGTTATAATTTTTATTTTTTTACCATTTAACTGCTTGATGTATGTTTAAATCTAAAGAGACATTGTGGGTTACCTATAATGCAAAGACATGGCGCTGCCTTCCAGCTTAAGAATAGCTAGAAGTATTTCCGACGCGGCCGTCAGGGCCGCGGTAGCATAATTGGTCAGTGCATTCACCCGGATAGCGAAGGGTTCGAGTCCCGTCTGCTGCCTGGTCCGCGTGTAATTTTTTCTAGTTATATTTTCTATAGATGTTTAAGTTCCTCCGTGTGTTTAAGTGTGTTTTTTTAATGAGCGCGTGAAACCTTAAAAAACAAATATTCGTCTAACTTTATAAAATTATGAACTAAATTATATTTTTTTCATCATAACAGGTACTCAACGACGTCGGGTTGAGTAATGATACGTTTGATGACACCACAATGAAACACCAGGTAAGTGATTTTCATAAAGGCCGGTTACAAGATGGGTGACCAAAGTATAATATGTTCTTGGTGCTGCCTTGGATGACAGGCACTTGAAGCCATTGGTCTCGTGTTCTCATGCACTGTGTTCTGTATCATTTGTATACAACTCTTTTCAGTTTTATGTGTAGTTATTTTTGTGTTTTTATTACAGTTCAAATATGATAGAATCATGATAATTTTATAACAATAGTTACACGATGTGACATGAACTGGCTTAGAGACAACGAGGATGGTCGCTTATTATATCAAAAGATTATAAAATCAAATGCATATTTACTTAAAGTTGAGATATTGGTTATTATGGAAAGCACTTTTTTATCGAAATAAAAAAAGTCCCGCGACTCTGGGAGATTCGAATTTAAGTGTAGTATACACCGTGAGATCTAATAAACCCAGTTTGACGCAAATGACAGTTGTCCTGTGTGTGTAACATAATAATAATCCATTTATTTTATTTTTAATATAAGAATATTGTGTGGACATCTGACATGATATTTTAGTTATTAATATATTTATATGCATTTATGTTTTCTTATTAATTACACCACCATTTCTCTTACTCCTTACACACACGCAAACTCGAATGGGGAATTAAAATTTAACTTAAATTTATATCCGATTATGAGTCATGAATCCCGAGATTTTAACACAATAACATACTTACTCCTCAATCATATACACACACAAAGTACATCACACACACACACACACGCACATACACACACCACATGCACACACACTCAAAATCCCCTACAACTATAGTTTTAGTTTGATGTAAATTCATCTTTTAGCTTAATCTTGTAACAGTGATGGAAGAGCGGTGCCTCCTGCTACAGGTATAGGTACAGGTATACTTAAAAGGAGTGCACCAACAATTTTATTAGATATTAATATGTTAAGTGAAAGAGAATAAACATTTTTTTTGTGTAATACATTAAAAAAAACTAAATTAAAAATTCCATTTTCAAGTTGCAGCGTTTGCCGTTTTCGCGGCAACTTGAAAATGGAGTTTTTGATTTGGTTATTTTTACTGAAATACACAACAGAATGATGAATATCCACTTTTTACGGACTCCATAAACATTAGTCAATAACGTGAGATCGTTTTCTAAAACTTGTCAAATACCCTATTGGTACATTATTTTTCATACTGTCAAATAGCCTATTGTTGTTGTTTATTTACTTTATATTAACAACCCCTTTTGTTTTCAGGAGAGCAAAAACAACATAACTCAGTATTTAACTCCACCGAATTTGAAGAACAAAAACGATTACATACCGGGCACGAATATCAGAAAAGGCACATTGAAATCGGAAATGGGTGCCTCAAATTGTGTGCCAGACGCGCAATGTGCTTTAGTTAATGCTGAATGTAGTAAATCTCTGAATGTAAATAAGACTGATGAACAGAAAGATGATTTATTTCCTGATGATATTGAGCTGGAAGAATCGTTTCTGGAGGCTGATGATGATGACGAACTCTTGGCTAACTTGGATTTATGATATTCAATTTGGTTTTGTTATGTTTCTAATAAAGTGTTGCAATTTTATGTTGTGTATTTTGTTTTACTATTTCTGCACATACTCGGGATATCTATTATTTTAACGTTTAATGCTGGCTTTCGAATATAGTATTTATAATATAATAAATATTTCCAACACACACCAAATTAGCCTAGCCCCAAAGTAAGCACTGTAAGGCTTGTGTATAGTAGGGTAGAGTATACTAGGGTAACGGATAGAATACATATACTGTACCTTATATAGAAATACATATTAAACATCCATGACTGGAGTACAAATGCTCGGGACCGGGACCTCTCGAGTCGGCGACACCATGGAACCCGGCGTACAAACCACTCGGCCACGGAGGTCGCCAATGAAAAAGGAATTTGTTTTAATATATTCAAAAACTACTGGTTGCCCGCGACTTCGTCTACGGTAACTTTAGTTTTGTAATAATCCCACATGAATCAACATTTTTTATGAGATAAAAAGTATCTTCTTCAAATGCTAGTAAAGAAGCACATATACTTGCTTATGTAAATTATATTTTTAATACACACTTGGGTAGGTACTTGGTATCTATATTGCAAAAGAGGGTAGATGTAGAGTACTATCAAATCAAAATACTAATATGTATCAATAAATTACTTATTTATTATAACAGAAAAAAAAACAATAAAATCCTCCCTACTTCCTCATGACGTAGACATAAATTTGAAAAGGTAAAGCGTCGGCTTAGTGTATGAACCAATACAAACGTTACTTCCCGTCTTTGAAGGTTCAAAGTTGTAAGGTTGCAATATGCTTAACGAGTGAGTAGTGACGTCACAGTTAATTATCAACAACGGTGACCTCCTCGCATGCGGCTTGCTTAAACTTCTCCTTGCCCGCGCATCTCAGGAGGCACTCATTGTTATACGTAACCCCATCAGTGGAGCAAACGGGTGTCAGATCTCTGGTGCAAGCGCAAGATGCTTCAGTATTTTCTTTTCTTGGTTCTGGTTCTAAATGTTGGCAAGGTCCCTGGTGTGCGATGCCAAGCCTCGAGTTGAACTGAGTGGAGCAATTGAGCTCGCAATCGTTGCTGTATGTGGCGCCATCTGTGCCGCAAACCGGCTTCTTTTCCTTTGTGCACGTGCAAGAAGGTATCTCGACTACTTTCACTTTGTCGGAACATTCGCCGTACGCGGCGATCTCAATCTTGTTACAGCGAGCTTCGCAAGGATTCGAGTAAGTATTGCCGTCTAAACCGCACACTGGGTTGTATTCCATCGTGCAGATGCAGACAGATTGGTTCTCTTTCTCGCACGGGCCTTTGCTGGCGATTTCTATCTCGCTCTTAGCGAGGGAATTAGCGCATCCCAACATGCACGGGTTGGAGTAGGTTTGCCCGTCGGTACCGCATACTGGCCTCAGTTCCCTGGTGCACACGCAACTTGACAAGCTTTTACCTTGTGCGAAAGCCACAGCTAACAGGAAGATACCTGAAAAGGATTTACAAATACATTGAAAAAATAATAGAAAACTATAAGCATTGAAACTATTCAATCAAAAGTCGCAATCTACAGTAGCATCAGATTATCCAATTTATTTATTTTTTTAAACACACCAATTAGCCTAGCCCCAAAGTAAGCACTGTACAAATTAAGCACAAGGCTTGTGTTATGGGATGCAGGGTAACGGAAAGAATACATATAGTGTACATATATAAGTATATTTCTAGATAAATACATATTAAACATCCATGACTGGAGTACAAATACTCGTATTCATCACACAAACATCTGCCCCCACCGGGATTGGAACCCGGGACCTCTCGAGTCGGCGACACCATGAAACCCGGCGTACAAACCACTCGGCCACGGAGGTCGTCGTTATAATAATAATAATATGTTTAAGTGATGATTTAAATCTGCAGTAATGTAACTGTATTATGGCGTTAATGGCGTGTCCCACGATCTCCAAAATTCAAACACTCTTCCAGTTCATTTAATCAGTGCAACAGGGAAGGCTAAGAGAAAATATTTTACAGTTATGTATTATTATTATTATTCTTTAATTATGAAATAACTTAACAGCCCAGTTTCATTTCACGGTTAAAAGGAAAAATTATATCAATGCCATTATAATTATGATTGTTTAGCGTTTGTTCCCACTTTGACACCGCAGTAAAACGGACCAGATAGATAGATAACTAACTACCTATTGTGATCACGCAAGTGCTGATTCACCAGTTTTTCCGAAGCAAGTATAATTGTTCTGAAATGGTGCTTAAATTGTAATAGTTTAAATAGATACAAGTGCGCTATTTTAAATACTGCACCTACAGATAATGCCTTCGGTAGGAAGCCGATTATTATTTATGTCTAGAAAAAAAATCTAAGTTTACATAATGAGGAGCGTGATGGCGCAAGTGGTTAGCGCGTTCGGCTGCGATCGTTGAAGTTAAGCAACTTTCGCAGTGGTCGATCATTGGATGGGTTACCAAAAATTACTGTCTCGAGTTCCTCTGTGCTTCGGAAGGCACGTTAAGCCGTTGGTCCCGGCTGCTACTGCAGTCGTTAGCACCCGCCCATCCGCACTGGGCCCTCGTGGTGGGTCATGACCCAATCTCCCTATTCCATCCATAGGGAAGGCCTGTGCCCCAGCAGTGGGGACATTAATAGGCTGATGATGATGATGACGATCAAGTTTACATAACAACAAACGCGCGCGCCGCGTGGCATGGCAAAACTAAAATTACCTAGGTACATGAATGTAAATGTAAATAATTTAAATAATATTAACACAAAAGAATTGACTATATGAATTACAGTATTTTTTGTTTTAACTCCAACACAGTTTATTATAAAAACAGGCAAAGTTTGGTAATCTTTAAGTCGTCTTCGTATTTATACCTATTAAACTACTTTAATTGCTTGTAACAAAGGAAAACCCGTCGTATAATTAGCGTTTATTATTCACAGAGCAGGTAATAGGTAAATCAGACACATGCATTATGTTTATGTTATATAAAAAAAACTGCACTTCTTATATTAAAAATGGGATTCGAACCCAGAATCTTTGAAAAAGATGACAGAAACTCTGCTATTTCACCACCACTCACTAGTCTACAAAATTAGTATAGGTAAATAATATAATTACTATTATATTATGCTATTATTTAATAATGTTTTAATACTTATTAAAAATTGGTTAACGACTTCGGTATAAGAGAGGCATATCTACAAAGCATCGGACATGTTGGGGTCATTTCTAAGGTACCGGATTCGGTTGAAAATGTACCCAAAGTCGAAAACGTCCAGAAGTATACTTTTAAAAATACAAAAAATATTCATGGGACGAAAAGTATGTGATATACATCCAGGTTATAAAGCTATGCCAAAAATCATATAAATACGCTCAGTCGTTTATACGCAATTTATACGCGACTGATTTACAATCATACAATGCAACATATTATTATTATTAGTAGGTAGTTTTTTTGTATTTCGAAGTTCTGATCTAGACAGTGTATTTCTAATTTTTATGAGGGGTGTTCAATATTATTAAATTTTATTCTTCTTTTTATTTTATTTAATTGGAAAATGTTATCGCTTTCGTAAGCATGAAGAGGAAGCCCTCTCAGAACGATGAAGTGTTAAATAATAAATAATAGGTTTAAGTTCACATTTTTTAATAAACTCGCACAAATGGTAAGGTACTTTCTCTATTCTGGCACCTAAATAAGATAAGAAAAATAAGGCAAATAATTCGATAATCATTATTTTAAAGAACGCGGATTCTTGATTTCAGACATGGCATTTAAGTTTAGTTTTAGTCCCATGTTTGACTGGGAGAGAAAAAAACATGATGCACCAGCTGCTAACTTTTCCAAGCAGATAGAAAAGTCTATCACGGACAGAGCTACTTCACGGCGAATCGTCATATCATTCTAATTAACAGTTGACATTACCTTGGTACGATCTTAGTGCAAAAATAATATCATAAACTTTATATTTAATTCTTTGTATGACGTAAGCAAGAACAATATTATTGTCGTTCAATAAGTGGTGAGACGACCTAGTGTTTATCGCTGACTTGCCTACCTTGACCTCAGTCCGGTTGTCGTACGGAATCTTTTTAATGGTCCCTTTGGTTTTAAAGTTATGTAACAGTGACCGCGTTATCTCTTTTTTACTTAATAATAAAATTTTATATAATATACTTGGAATATTTCAAATAAATAAATAAATATTTTTGACAACAATTATCCAATATCTATCTGATTATTTATAAGCAAATGAAAAAATATTTAAGAATTTTTTTCTAGTAAAATTTTCTTTAGATTTAACATCTAGCAGTAAATGCTTAAAAAAATAAAAACTTACTTAAAATATCTAAGTTGATATTATTAATTAAATGAATAAATAAAATAAAACTTTTAAATTTCCTAAATACTTTACTAAAAATATTTTTAAGTGTTTTTTATACTCAAAAAGTTAGTTATGAAATAGATTGTCAATTTTTTGGATCGACTGGAGGTATCCATCATAGTGTTAATAGACTATATAATTTATCATTTGACCACATAAATCTTTATCACGGAATTGACGTCCTTTAGTAAGCTATAAAATAAACTTAAGATTATCCTAAAAACATTCGCTTGTAAATAAGAACGCTGAGTATATTAGAAATTAACTAAAAATAAATAGGAACTTATGTATTATCACAGTGTAGAAATTTAGGAAAGTGTTTTACTGACTGTACTATTATTGTGATTATTTATCGTTATTTCTAAGAATTTTAAGTAAAGCTATACCACAAAACAAAATATTGCTCTATAGCTATTTGCCAGTGCCAATTTTAAAGTCACATCAACCGTGATTAATGAATTATTCTCTGCTACTATTATAGTTACATTGATACGTGACGGCAATGTAATAAGTAATACACAATACACCGTAACAGCGGGTCAAACGCCTTACGGGATTGCTATGGCTATCGCTATAGCATATGATATCATTTTGTTATTTCTGACCACCGAAGGTTTCATTTTTCAAATACTTCACTGTCATTTTATTCAATTTTCCATTATTATTACCAATGCGAAAAAAAGATCGCATGGCATTTAAAACCTTCGGCGGGCTCGTTAGGTGTATGGCCCCCAGGTACCTACCTAACTTGTGTGTTTTTTCCGGAAGCTAAATTGGAGTCATAGTTGACTGATCGCATGAAATTAAACGTACCATGTTTAATGTTTGTCACTAAAAAGGTCATAGTACTTATTATGAAGTTAGATAGGTAAGTACCTGTATGTTTGGCAAAATAAATTAAATAAACCCTTTCCACCTTATTACAAAACGTAGACTAAAAATAAAACTGATACTGGTGTCGATTCTGGCACGATTCTCTAAATCTAAACTTAAAATTGACAACAGTGTATCCTTGTCATTCTCTATACAGAATAAAAAGGAGAGACTGATGTTAAATTTAGTTTTAAGTTTAGAGAATCACGCCAGAATCGACGCCACTGTCACTTTTGCTAGCTAAAAAGAAGACGGAGACAACATTAGGTTTAAACCAAGACAAAATTTAGTCCTCGTTTTGGAATAAGACGGTTTTAGTTTTACTACCTAACTGGTCAGCTGTGTTTAAAGTATTAAACCAAAATGTTTTTTAGTGACGAAAAAGTAAACCTGAAATACCTAATTCCTTAGGTAATAAATAATTTCACTCACCAAACCGCGAGATCATTTTGTCTGATGTTTGTTTACGATTTATTATTTATTATTACGACTTAATATTTCTTTATTGTTACGGTTAAAGCGTTGTAATTGCGCGCTCTGTTCACTTCACAATGCTGACGGGTGTTGTGGTACAAGAGAATATATATAGTAAAATTATCTTTCCCGAGTCGTCATCCTTGTGGCAAGCGTGATTCCCCGCGTTTGTCTTGCCGTCCGTCCGTCCGCGTCCATACGTCTCGCTCCGGTCCGTCTGCGTCATTTCTGTGTCAGAGGTGCGTGCACAGGAAATCTTGAGATACGCCTTCCCTGAACTGAGGAAATTTGTTGACTCTGCCTTGTTTACTATCGGTTTCGAAGCTGTCTGTAAATAATGTTGGAAATCTCCCAAGGCCCTCGCGCTCGCGAAACGTAAATACTTACTTATGTAACTTTATTTGCTTTGTCTCGGGATATTAATTTTAATATTTCTTAGGTTTAGTGTCACGAAGTGCCTACTAGTAATATTAAAATACTGAAATTTTTATCATACATGTTAACCATATTTAGGGCATTTGTTAAAACGTAGAGGAACTTATTAATACTGATTAGGAAGATTGTGAGTTCCATAGTTTAAGTATGTACCTCAAATCACACGCAGTTTAAAATTAGGGGTATAAATAAGTTATTCCATTAAAATGCTTTTGAATAACTTTAAATAAAACTATACTGATATCGTGCGCATGGAATTAAATTCTGTTATAACATTGGCTTCTGTTTGGCCGTTACTTTGCATCTAATTTGCTGATGAGTAGGCAACAAATAATGATAACACAATGTAAGTACTTACTTAAAATAAACGAGTTTATTATCATTGAAACTTAATAAAGACGTTTTTTAGATTCGAAATAAAATAAGGGTTTATGATTTTCGTGCGTCGATGCCCCCAGATCCACACTTGCAAGGTCCCGGGCGCTCCACCCTCAGAGTGCTGTCGTTTTTGGTGGCGCAGTTGAGCAGGCACACGTTGTTGTAGGTGCGGCCGTCGCTGCCGCACACCGCCTTGCCTTCCTCCGGGCACGTGCAGGGCGGCTCGCACGGCCCCGCCTTCAGCAGCGTTTGACCCGCGCACGTCATGAGGCATTCATTGTTGTACGTCACGCCGTCAGAACCACACACTGGTTGGAGTTTTCTAACGCACGTGCAGTCAGACTGGTCCACCACTTTCACGCTCCCACCGCACGGACCCGAATGCGCCACCCTCAGCGTCGAGTCGTCAATCGTGGCGCAGTTGAGCAAGCATACGTTGTCGTAAGTCACTTGGTTGCTGCCGCAGACGGGTGATTTGTCCGCGGAGCAAGTGCACGGTGGCTCGCACGGACCCTCCTTCAACAGCTCCACGCCCGCACACTCCATTACGCATTCGTTCGAGTAAGTGGTGCGATCTTTACCGCACACCGGCGGCGCGTCGCTTTTGCAAGCCCTGCACTCCGGTTGCTCCACTATAAGTATACCGGTAGACTCTTGACTCGGCGCGCAAGCCCCCACGCTGGCGACCCTCAAGCTGGAGTCGTGTTTGGTGGCGCAGTTCAACCAACATGTGTTGTCGTAAGTGAGGCCGTCGCTGCCGCACACGGGCTTGTTCTCGCGGGGGCAGGCGCAGGGCGGTTCGCAGGGGCCCCTCCTTTCTAACTTCATGCCGTTGCAATTGAGCATGCATTCGTTCGTGTAAGTGACGCCGTCGGCTCCGCACATTGGGTCCAAGTGCTCCTTACACTCGCAGGGTTGGTCGACGACGATGACGGTGTGTTCGCAGGAGCCGGCGCGCGCGATGCTGAGCGTGGAGTCGTCGGCGGTGGCGCAGTTGAGCAGGCAGTCGTTGGCGTAGGTGACGCCGTTGCTGCCGCACACAGGGTTGTATTCGTCGGGACAGGTGCAGGTGGGAGTGGGCTCGCAGGGCCCGTGCTTGTCAAGCGTGAGGTCACCACGTAGCAGGGCGCAGTTGAATATGCACTTGCTCAGGTAGGTGCGGCCATTGGAGCCGCACACAGGGTTGTACTCGATGGGGCAGAAGCAGCGCTTCGGCAGTGCCACCACCGCGTACACGCTCACTGCTATCACTAGCGCTACGGGACAAAAAACATAATATTTAATTATCCACTTTATGATTATAGTAATACAAGGGTAAGATAATTTAGGATTTTGTATAATGTAGTAGAATGGAATTATATATATTCATTATGATAAAAAACTACAATAGGACAAATTTTCACCTATATTTTGAATTTATACTAGATAGTAGATAAAACAGTTAAGAAAAAATATTGTAGCTTCAGAATACGCTCAGACTCATGTATGATTTAGGAAAATAAAATGAGCGCAAGTTCTAAATCTTTTAAAACTTTACTTAAATAATTACTTACAATCAAAACCCTTTTCAAATCATAGGTTAGTCATAATCATAAATTCAACTCACCTAATTTAATCATGTTGGATTATTTATATTTTAACACTGATTTGGGCAGGGATGCTTTCTGCCGGCTTTCCACTGCCAAATCTAGAGAGCGCTGGACCAAAATGGTGACTACTAAATAATTTAGCTAGTTTATATGTACACGCAAAATAGCCTCTGTCATGCCAAGGTTTTGCTAACAGTGGCTCCTCTGTCGTGATTGGCCGTGCGCCGGCAGACTTGCTTTCGGTGTTTTTTTTTGCGCGTTGCAAAAAAGGTACGTCGGTTACTATGGCACTTGTACGGGTTTTCCTAACATATATGATATCGAAGAAGAATAAGTTTTTTTATGTTAAAAGGGTGGCAAACAAGTGGACGGCCCGCCTGGTGGTAAGCAGCCACCATAGTTAGTTTATAGACGCTTGCAATACCAAAATATAGCACTCGCGCCTTTGCACATGATTAACATCCGATCGGGTAGTAATTACTTAGTTGGACTGTTTAAAAAAATGGTAATAGGTATTTCTGGTTCTCTCAATCAAACTCTATCATAAAGTTAATCTATCAAGAGAGGTAAGACATAAAGGATTTCCCGCTAGTATTGGAGTGCCCGTCAGGGGAAGTTACCTCCACCTTACAGAAGACAACAGTAAAATAACACTACCTTTTGAATTCGCCGCCACAGTAGTATCGCTTTGCTATCGGTGAGTAAGGTTCCAGGGCTCCACGGGGTAGGGGATTGGGTCAGGGTAGGCAACGCACAGTGTAGGAATTTCATAATCTAGGGGGATTTAAATCAAATTTTTTTTTTTCAATAATTGATGATATAGTAGTGTATCAAATAGGACCTTAGATTTAAATAAGTTATACTATATCATCAATTATAAAAAAAAAATTAAATCCCCCTAGATTACGAAATTCCTGCACTGTGCGTTGCCTACCCTGACCCAATCCCCTACCCCGTGGAGCCCTGGAACCTTACTCACCGATAGCAAAGCGATACTACTGTGGCGGCGAATTCAAAAGGTAGTGTTGTTTTACTGTTGTCTTCTGTAAGGTGGAGGTAACTTCCCCTGACGGGCACTCCAATACGAGCGGGAAATCCTTTATGTCTTGTATAGTTGAGTTTGATTGAGAGAACCAGAAATACCTATTACCATTTTTTTAAACAGCCCAACTAAGTAATTACTATCCGATCGGATGTTAATCATGTAAAAAAAAAAAGGTTTATGATACATAACGTATGAGGACCTAGAATATATACAAAATGATAATATTTCTCAATAGATTATCAGTAGAAGGCATTTTTTGTTTAAAAGGTGACTTCAATCACTATTCAAAATAATGTAACTAAAACATGGTATTGAAATAAATTATTATTGACCAATTATGCTACCGCGGCCTTGATGGCCGCGTCGAAATTCTTCTAGCCATTCTTAAGCTGCAAGGCAGTGCCATCTCTTCGCATTGTAGGTAACCCGCAATGTCAAATGAATACTTTATATACAACTAATACTATACAAGTAGTTAACTTTTGAAAGAAGAAATAGCAATTATAATTATAATTTTTATTTTTTAAGCATGTAACTGCTTGTTGTTTAAATCTAAAGAAATATAAGTAAGGTGCGGGTTCGAGTCCCGTCTGCTGCCTGGTCAGCGTGGATTTTTTTCTAGTTATATTTTCTTTAGATGTAAACATCAAGTAGTTACATGCTTAAAAAATAAAAATTATAACTATAAATTATTATAATTAAAAGTGATTGGTATACTCTTTTATTAAAAACGGCCACCCACAACTTCGTCCGCGTTCACTTTAGATTTTTAGAAACCCTCAGGATTCTAACCTTTTTTCTTGGTTAAAAAATATCTTATATCCCTAAGTTATGTGTCAATATAGATATATTTTTTTATATAAGCTGAATTTCATCCAAATCCGTTCAGCCGTTTTTAGTGTGGAAGAGTCACAAACATCCATACAAACTTTCGCAATTATAATATAACTATTATATAATTATAATATAATGGCGTCTGCGACGTTGTCCGCGTTAAAGTTAGTTTGTGGGAATCCCACAGGACCCTTTTTTTTGGGATAAAGTATCCAATGATCTAAATCCGTTCAGCTGTTTTAGTATGAAAGAATAACAATCATCCACACCAACTTTCGCATTTATAATAAACGTAGGATACTAGCGGCCACCCGCGACTTCGTCCGCGTTAAGTTTAGTTTTTTGAGAATCCCTCAGGAATCAGTATTTTTTCTGGGATAAAAGTATCCTATGTCTCGATCCTGGTCATAAGCTATATCCGTACCCAATTTCATACAAATCCATTCAGTAGTTTTTGTATGATTGAGTAACAAACATACAAATTCTCGCATTTATAATATTAGTAGAATAGGAATGGATCTTACGACGATTTATGGAAGGAAAAAATATATACTATTTAACAAATTAAATTTATAATTTCGTTTTCCTTACTTTAATATTTTTCCGATAGGTACCTACCCCTTCGCGCGTCGTTCGGCAGATTCGCTATAGGACAGAAACTTGATAAGGCAGAAGCTGGATTGGGCAGAATCGTGTTTTGGCAGTTGTGGTACACTCAAAAGAAAACTTACTTAGTTATTTAAAGACATTTATTATTATTGCATATTATTTGAATAACATTCCCCGTTTAGAAGCACTTTTATTTATTCTACTTAACACAAGATAGCCGTCTTAAACACTCAATTATGTTATAGTCCTGTTTTAAAAGTCCGTTTATAATTTTATCAATGCTACAATTTTTTTGTACCATAGAATTTTGTCGCCGCTTTTCTTTTTGATAAATTTCTTTTCTTGCAATTTTTCGGTCTTGAAATGCTGCTTCCTTTTTAATTTTCTGTATAAACAGAAAAATTGATGGCCGTTCTGTAATGCGAGCGTTGATGCGTCTATGCCATCCTTCGACCGCATTCGTCGTGCGAAATTTCTCTTTATAGCAACTAAAGGTATCAGAAGTGATAATCTCCATCCACTGCCTTCGGAAATAATCGTTGAATTTATTAAATTCTTCGGATTCAGGACCCATGTAAAAAAGCTCGAAATATCCTTCTGGTATAAAATTAGGAGGAAGTAATGCCAGCTGGATGTATAAAAGTGTCATATTTTTTTCTTCGTCGTCAATTTTTACTTTGACGCTATCAAAGTTAAGCTTCTTGCTCATTTTCCACACCGCATTAGAAAAATGGTAAAAGCACCCTGATACCTTTACTTCAGGAAATATTGATTTCACAGCGTTAATTGCGGCTAGCTCATAATCGCATTTGTAATATTCAATATTAATTGAAAATTGATGCTTTAAAATTGTAAATAATCTTTTATAGGTTTCTTCTTTCTTGTCTGGTAATAATATGTACAACAATGGTACAAATTTAACATCATCATCTTCTGCTAAATCGACATGTAACGTATATAATTGATAAAAAAGTTTGGGCACAACTCTAAAAGTACCATCGCCGTAAAACCTGCTGAATTTTTTAAAATATTTTTTTGCTAACGGCGTTCCGAAAATTAGAATTTTGTCTTCATTTCCACAATCATATAAAAAAAAATCCTTGACGAGGACGTCCGGCAGTCTTATATCTTCACGTCTTTTAAATGTAAGAGTCTTGCAATGCAAGTAGTCTAATCTTGCCTTTCTCAACATATCTTTCACGCTTTCATATTTTGGTAAATATTCCTTTTGAACATCATGCTTTATGCTGTTAATATAGTCTTCGAAAACTTTTGGTATAGGTTCCAAATTGAGACATACTTGCTTTTTACATTCATCCATAATTTCATCAATAACGTTTTTTATTTTGTTCGGAACACATGAATGATTTGCTTTTCTTAAAATTTGATCTTTTGAATCCAGCGTGATTGATGTATTACATTCCGTTTTATTGTAGCATCTCCAATTACTTGTACCAGATTTGTTTTTCATTACGAAATTATAGCGAAAACCGTCGTGTAGAAGCACTGGCTTACCTCGTTTACTGCGAATAATTTTCAAATTTTCACTTTCTGTACGTGGGCCCGCATCATCCATCATAATAAATTAAATTCAATTATATCTCAGATAATACAAAGAAAAAATACTGACTTGACTATAATAATGTCATTGTAAAATATATAATTTGTCATGTCACCATAAACCATAAGTGGCCATTATTAATGATAAGATAAACCAAAGAGTTTACATCATAATAATATTATTAACATCCTGACTGTACTCTGCCAAAACACGATTCTGCCCAATCCAGCTTCTGCCTTATCAAGTTTCTGTCCTATAGCGAATCTGCCGATCGACGCGCGAGGGTACCTACCTACCTTGATATCTATATAGGAAATGAAGAAAAGGAAGTAACTGAATAACTTAATTGTCTTTTGTTTGGGTAATGGTGTGGTTTGTACGGGTAGGTAATGGCATCGCTAAGTATTTTCTGTGCGATAAATGCAACGCAGGGCAATGTATTTTTTAAATAAGTCCTAACAAGTGAAGATGTCTTTCAAACATTATTGTTTGAAAAGTCGAGTCAAAGTCTCGGTTTCGTGTCCTACGAGATCTATAAATTTGGAAAAATCCATACCATTTAAATTAATTAAATGTGACCTAAAACTTGATTTGTATACATACTATGCCTATAAGCTTCAAAAGGTAATATCGGAAATGTGTTCTGTTTTTGGACCTCTGAAGAAAAAATAAGTATAATTTAACCTTTAATGCAGTGCGAAGTGTAGTTAGGTAACAGTAAGAGAGATCTTTAAATAAGGCACTCGAAAAAATAAATCGTCCGTACGAATACGATAAATGAAGATAGAATACAGAATTCCCTTCGTTGAAATGAGTAAAGATAGGTGAGACATCTCGAAGCAATCGCAAAAATCAACAATTAATGTTTGATAAATAATATTTGCGCTTATCAATTCAATATGAAAATATTATACTTGGTAACTAATGTGGTTAGCGGGTTTTTGTATGTTCACTACAATCTGTATTCGTTGTTATTGATATTTATTTTCTTCAGCATGTTATTTTCCTTATATTCAAAGAATTCTTAGTAGAATTATCTGTAACAGGAGCTCCATTGCAAAGTAGTAAGAAAATAGAGGTATACGTAAATTAGCATTAGTAACGAATTCATTCATCGTTTATTTATGGATTTAAAATATTTTGCGCAGTGACGGTTTACCGAATGAGTCACGAACAATCTATTTTTCTATATAAAAACATGTGAAAAACAACTAACTTTATGGCATGCGCCGTAATCTACCCTCTGAATGATTCCGTCTTATACCCCGTGCCCGTGAAAATAATTTGAGTGGTATAACGGTTATCACTTAGAAGGCTGCCTGATTAACATCCATACTAAATCAAAGTCTCGCAAAAAATAGTTAAAATTATGATAAAAGCTTACTTTAGATTGTATTTGGCATTAGTATTGTTTTACAAACTTGCCGACAACAGCCTGCAGAAATATAGACTTGATTATTCATAGGCCGGGTTGATTGATGATTACCTACTAATGTTTTGAGGGTTGAAATAAGTACAATAGAGCGTGCGTTGCACCAATTTTCAGTTTCAGTTAGTTTAATGGCCTACAGACTTTTGCTAAACCGCCGCGGAGGACTTTTGTCAAGGTATCATGAAAAAATTGTCCGCCGAGGACTTGGCACGGACTCAAAATTTAGTGAGGCGCACACTACATTTTCGCAATGGAAACCATATTATGAGATAACGTTGTATTGTAGAATAGTTTTCACTATAATATTATATAAAACAATGTTTATCAATCTTTCTGAAAGATAATTGAATACAGTTTAAGCGTAAAGCTATAGCGTAATAACATACTTGAGGTTGATTTTATCACTTAAAATAGTAGGCTCAGAAGAAAGTGATTACCTACTTAATAATTACCCAATTGTGTGTCGTTATTTTAAGTTTTGACGTGACAACGTCTTAAATTAGGTTGCGGCTGGGAGTCACTTATGAAAAAGTGTAACGCTCGGTAACGTTACGATGAGTCTCTCGTGTTAAGTTTAAGTTTACATGTACAATGTTTTAGTAAACAAAATATATTTCTATAGTTAAAATTTGTGCAATTCTTATTTTCATTCAATTCCTTGTTCCTATTGTGCAATTTAATTATATTCATATCAATAAATATTCTACCGAGAAAAAGACGTTGTCACGTAAAATCTTCGCCCGTAAAACCGACTTTACAGGCAACCATTTTTTTTTAATTCCAGACACACTCCTCAATTATTTGATAAATTCGTTAAGATTATTTTATTTGCATTTCTGATCATGAATCCTATAGACGCTAATATACATAATAATATTTTTTTCAACAAATATTTTGCCATTGTCCATTCGGTCGAGATACCACACAGAACAATATACTCTCTACGAGAGAGATACCTACTGTTTCTTGATGTATTAGTTAAATTGAGTTCTTTTTTCCACTTCTTTACCACATACATCACTATCGTTCGCCGTGTGTGTTGGCACTTCTTGTCACATAAATTTGCTATTTTTTCAAGGACTCGTGCGAACCTTTTGTCCTGTCCGGTCCCTCGGTAGTTCGGGAAACTATCTGTTCGCGGTATTTTTAATCTGTCGTGTGCGTTACTCAGTGCAGTACCCCTAGAATGAATCAATATCAAATTCGAATAGTTTGCGAGTCCGAAATGTCATTGTCAAATGTGTACTGATTTTAAGTTCCCGTTACTTACTTTGTGGCGCTGCTGTTCACAATATTAGTCTATGCTGCTGTTCAAGTTTCCATACAAAAATTGACATTGACATTTCCGCAAACTATTCGAATTCTATATTGGTTCGTGCTAGGGGTATAGTTGTAAGCGATCTATATATTACGACGGGCAAAAGTCCCTTGTCTGCGCTGGCTATAACTTTAACTAAGTATCATAGGAAAAAATGGATTGCATACATTTGACGATAGTCAACATGAGGTCATATTATTTGGCAGTGACAATAACTGCCCAAGCGAGGCCAGTTGAAGATGTAGTAAAAAAATATTTTAACTGGCTCTGTGGTGTAACTCACCTTATAGTCCGATTTCGGTATGCTATTCGGTTCGGATTCGAAACTTTCATAGATACAATATCCACCTAGGGAAATTGTTGCGATAGGAATTTAAATGCGTACGCGCACAAAGGAATCCTACTTACTCGTACCTTCCTTATGGAGAGGAACTTGTGTGAACTAACAATGCCAGTAACGCGCGAACCACGCATCGTCCTCTACAAAAATAATACAAGTTTTCATTGCTCTTGCGATTACTCAATAAAGTCGTCGATCAAGTGGTTTGTTCGTTTAATTATCCCGGTCGTATTTATCGAACGGAAATTGATAAAGCTCACCTCATATATATATAATACGAGGGTATTAGCAGAACTGTGAAAGTGAAACGCCGTGTGAGCATCTGAAAATACCTACCTCTGTCTTTTTTAATTGTCATACTTTAGTTAGTGTGTATCCCGAAATGGACCGTTCGCTACTATGTAAGTTTTTTTGTTTTTTATTAAAAGAAATTACACTTCACATTTTTTTTGTTCTTCTCTGTCATGTTTGAGTTGTATCTTCGCGGTGGCTCCTTAAACCTACCTATCATCGCCAAGACATAATGATTTATTTTTCTCAAAAATCATAACCGTTGCTTAACTTAAATAAACTATTAATAGCGTGGTTGGCATGTGAATAGGTGATAGGGAACCGCCGATAAAAATGAGACCACGGGTTTTGCACAAATTGCTACTTGCACAGTCTAAATTCACCTGACTGCAACTTGCCTGTAACAAAACATGCTTTCTTTGTTAAACAGCAGCAGAAATGCGTTAGATACTCGTGCTGCTGGTAGGATAGTTAAGCCCCTGACGCATCTTTGATGCTCTGTCATCGCCGCGATTGGGATTTTTTATGTAAAAAGGCTGGCAAATAGACATAATAGACTGCCTGATGGTAAGCTTGATTTTCATTGATAGAGGTTGGCGATAACTCGAGTATTATCTTCCTTGCTCCCATCTCCTACCCCATGGAGCCCTGGACCCTTGGTCTTCGACTGAAACACAACACCACCAAAAGATTGTGTTATTTTACTGTTAAAATTACAATCGGGCACTCCGCTTCGACGGGTAAATCCGCTACTTCCCACCTCCGTTCTGAGAATGATAAATTTGCAATTTTTATTTTGTTATACCTAGGTTAGGTAGTTATATCGATTTACTCCTATTTGGCTTTAGGCGCCTACAAATCGCAATCTTTCTTGTTAATCGAACGAGTGGTAACTTGAAAGTAAAACAAAATAAAATAAAAATAATATTTTTTGTGGGTTTGCTTGATGGCAAGCTTCTACATTAGCCTTAAATATAGTACATTAATTTATACATATACCTTAAACTTAAGCTATCGGGTCGTGTGAGGCGGGTCGCTAATTTCCCTAAAATATGGTCGACGAAGTGATGGCAGCTACCGTAGATGAGTCTGCTCTATACTTCTTTACTATCCTATCCTTTATTACAGTTATGCCTAATATAAATGAGACTATTTGTATTTGTGGTAGGTAGGTAATCTCAAAAACTACTGAACGAATTTTCAATAAATGCTCAGCATCTGTTGCATAATTTTATTAACAGAAAGTTTGTAATGTTATAGTTATAATACACGAACTATGGTCTACATTACACCGAAGAGAAGCGAGGGCGGATCACGTTATTTACTATTTTGTAACTTAATGTCTTTATCTCTCTAACAAGCCCCAATGTAAGTAAAGTACTCCCTTCTGATAATCAACTACTTGTTATCTTTTACTAAGAGTTTAATACATATTTACTATTACTCCAAGTGTCAATGATCAGAGTAGGGCGCTTATTATGTAAATAGCTATAGCAACAGTGACTGATGCCACATTTTTTTGAGAGACAGAATAGGTAATTTGTAATCTGAGCGTAAATGGCTATGTGTAAAATTTTAGAGATATTTCTTTTCTTACCAGCTGCTTTCCCCGCCGGACCATCTGTACCATTGTACAGATGGTCCGGCGGGGAAAGTTTTCCTCTTCATTTATCTAGAATTAAACAGGAAGTAGAAGTGGGTAAAAAAATAACTAGATTACCTTCACTGGTACGTGTAGGTAATTACTAACTACAGTTACTCTATAAAAAGTAGGGTTTTCTTTTTTCCAGTGTTCTTCCTGCTGTCGCTATTCGTAGCGTCGTCGGTGTGCAATGACGAAGGGGTCGCGATATGCGCGTGCGCTCGGATCTACCGGCCGGTGTGCGCCTCCGACATGCGCACGTACAACAACAATTGCGAGTTCGAATGCCAGGCCAACCACGTCAGGCAGCTCGGCCGGGACTTGTACATCATAAAGAACGGCAGATGCAACGAGTATTTTTAATAAGCCGTAAAATATCTTTAGGTGCGTACAAAACTAGAAGAAATAACTGGACATCATTACAAAAGGTGTTAGAAATTCGTAACCCAATGTAGTCATATAACTACTGTATTTATGTGAATATTAATGCAAAGCAGGTCTAGGTTTTTATTGTTTTGGGAATATTAAAATATTATATTGATGCTTACCAAGTACCTGCACAGCAATGCACGTCACACACATCGCTACTACAAACTTATGCTATTGCACTGGCTTTGCTGGACTATTCAATAGTACACCATCAACAGAACTTTTTTGGGCTGGGAACTTGAAAGACTTTTGGGTTTTAATGTTTTTAAGATTCATCATCATCATCACCACCTGTCTATTAATATCACCACTGTTGGGGCACAGTCCCCTTCCCAATTGATGGACTAGGGAGATTGGGCCCCACCAAGCGGGAACAGTGCAGCCAGGACCAACGGCTTACAGCCTTCCGAAGCACAGAGGAGCTCAAGATAATAAGTTTTGGTGAACCATACCGAACGAGCTATCCACCTGCGTCATCGAGCTCCTATAAGTCTCTCTCTCTAAAGGTGCTGTCCGACGACCTGTGTTGTCACGGGCGAGGCCGCGGCGTACAGGGTTGCCAAACGTATGAGAACTCTAACGTTTGAGATTTAGCAGTCCTCTATACATGACGAGGTAAATAGAAATCTCGTAGATTCGAACTACGTTGACTGTTTGTGTTATGTACACAAACCAAAAATATTATTAAAAAGTAAATAAATGACTACTCCACAAAGGATCGACTAAGTAATTTCAACTTCATTATGCCATAACAAAGTGAACAAGATTTCTATTTACCTCATATCATGTATAGAGACTGCTAACTTTCAAACGTTAAGAGTTCTCATACGTTTGGCAACACTGCGCGGCGCGGCTTCGCCCGCGACAACACAGGTCGTCGGACAGCGCCTAAGGCTCTCTCGTAAGATTCTATAAATGTAAAAATATCCTCTTAAAGTGCTGCATTATAATAATATCTACAGAATTAACTTTATTCTGTTGCAGTTATGTTCTCAATTCTTTTGTGTGCCCTGGTGACTTCGCTCCCACTTTGGGACGGGTGGGCCGAACACGAGTGCTTGTGCATGCGGCCATACGACCCCATCTGCGCTTCCGACATGCAGCGGTACTACAACAAATGTGTCTACGACTGCAGAATCAACTATTTGACCAGAAACAACATGCCGATGATACAGCCTGTCAACTGCTCCACTTTGCGACCTGCGTCACCACACACATAATACAATTCTTTAACTATTGACAAATTAAATAAAAACATAATGTAAACAACTTTTTATTTTATTTAATCTAGTATTTTTTACAAAAAAATTACACATCACCTTTGTTTCATTATCAGCATATTAATGTCTGCTGGAGCACAGGTCTTTCCTATGAATGGAATAGGAATACTGGGCAATGCTGACCTACCACGCGGACCCAGTGCAGATTGGTGGGTGCCAACGGCTTAACATGCCATCTCAAGTACGAAGGGGCTCAAGAGAGTAAAATTTTGGTCACCCATCCAATGACCGACCACTATGAAAATCGCCAAATCAGCAGCCGAACGCGCTAACCACTTGTTGCATCGAGCTCTTCATTATCAGTTTGAATGACCTTAATAGAGGGTTTTTTTTACATTGTTAACATTTTATCTACTTTTTTATAAAATACTGTCTCAAGTAGTTGGGTTGCCTTGGCATTAATGCATAATGAAATAATTGATAATGCCAAAAACAGCATACATTGATCACGCAAACTAGTCGCCAACCACCAAATAGTGTAGAAACAACCAATATTATTGCACAATTAATTAACAGCACCAATTTAATACATAATGAATAATTTTTCACTATACTATTGTCCTTGCAAATTTATTGCAAATTGGCTTCAACCAACTTAGTATTTTGTATTGGTAGCGGCAAAGTTCTTGAGCTATACCACAGACAAATAAACTTGCGCAGTAGACGTTTTTGTATGTAAAAGTGCTACTGCACAGGCTTCCTTGTATGTGTATATATATAACAGTTAAAGGAATAGAACACTAATCTTTAACCCACATATTAATAAACGAAGACTATGATTGTTTTAGTTACTCCATGTTTTGTCTCCGTCTATTAAACACGGCGTAACTAGTCTAAGCTTATTCCTTGTTTTTAAAATAGGGGTGAAAGCCCAAGATGAAATATTAATACATACATACAAGTACTATCACAATTTTCTCACTGAATATTTGTCTATTGTATACAAAATCATTATATTAGATTCTTATTATAAATTTATTATGTCTTATATGTTATTTTATTTGTAAATTCACTGTTGTTATATATAACTAACCTAAGAATGTAAAAAGTTTGTTAAGTTCTTTAAAGTGCAGCCAACAAAAGAATGCGATCCTGACAGGTTGTGTCAATTCCTTTAGCTAACAGTACCCCTAGCACAAACCAATATCGAATGTGTATTGTTTGCAAGTATGAAATGTAATTGTCAAATGTGTACTGATTTTTAGTTCTAGTTACGTACGTTATGGCGCTGATGTTCAAGTTTTCATTTAAAATTTCACAATGACATTTCGGACTCCCAAACTATTCGAATTCAATAATGGTTTGTGCTAAGGGTACAGAATAAAGTACACTTTCGATCTAATGAAGAGGTCTGAAACTAAAATTTAATTCTGTCAAAATAAGTAACACTTTTGATGGCTGCACTTTGTCTAAGTTAATCACAACTATAGTAAGAAATAATAATACAGACATTCCACATATCAATAATTTTTATATCCTATATTAGTATTACTTTGTACCACATACTTTTTCCACTTACTTACTTTATCCAAAGTAGGTACCCAACTAATATATTACAATTACAGATAACTAAGAGTTTCATCTACTATAAATAACTAAAATCTTCCAAATTAATATGTTTACGAAACTATAATTTTGAAGGCATCAGCTCTTTGAATGTGTATTGCTTTCTCATTTCATCCAGTTCATATATATTTTCAGGGAGAAAACTTTGCAGGAAAAAATGAGTTATTACTGCGGTAATGCCCCAAATTCTGTGTTTCGCAGTATTGTACACTGGTATATTTATATTCTCATAGGGCACATGCCCATGAATTTCCTTGTTACACAGTTCTTCCATAGATACAGTAAATATTTCATCGACTTCATGCAGGTTTGGAGTTAAATTTTTCATGTCAAAGTTGTTGATTACTCCCACAACTGGAGTTATTCTTATTTCTCTGTTCCTGCCTTCAACTTGAGGCATTACCGTCCATACGTCTATACTGTCGTGAGGGATACCGATCTCTTCCTCAGTCTCCCTCAAAGCAGTCCTAATAACTGATTCGTTTTCATCTGCCTTTCCTCCTGGAAATGACACCTGACCACTGTGTGCTTTCAGGTTTGAAGATCGTAATGTATAAAGGAGACACACTCTGCCATTATCAACACAAATAGGTACGAGAACCGAAGCTTGTGCCTTATTTTTTGATTTTCTAGTTATCAATGCTGGAAGTTCTTTTAACTTGGTAACGCAGCGTTCTCTGACCATATTAGATAGCAAAACCTGAGGCGATAACGACATTGTGAGGATGAAACTGTCTATTATTCACGTTTTATCCGAAGAACACACAATTACTACGACTTTAAACTCTGAATTGGAAGGACTTATATGATGGTCTTGTCTTGCTTGATCTGTGTGTGACGTCGATGTCAATCGTATCAGCTGTTTGATTTTGACATTTACTGTCAATTGATACAATACAAACAGCCAAACATTATTTAGGACTTTTTGGCGGGATCGGGACGCGTCACTTTAGCAATTTTGTTTTTCTTGTTAAAAATTGTGTTGTGGCGGATGTTAGTGACTAATAATGCTGGATTTTTAACCACTAAGTGTTCGGAAACATGCACAAGTGTTGGCAAGTGAAACAAAATAGCGGAAGGTGTCTTTCGACGTTCCCTCAAGAAGTCCACGGGGAGGTTCCAGTAAATCCCCACACATTTACTGAAACATAGGGATAGGGGGATTGACTTGACCGCCACTTACTTAGACTTGACTAATATTTTGACCACGAGTGCTATAGAATATGTAAACATTTTACACTTGACATTGGCTAAATGCACAATCCGTGCGAAGCCATATAGAAGAAAAAAAACACATTAAGAGGCGCGGGAAAGCTTGAAAGCTATAGGCGGTCTTTTGCGAAATTAAAATATTTTTTATATTTTATTGTTATAAAACACTTAAAAGTTATCTGAAGAATACTGTTTCAACTCTGCTGACATGGGCAGAGTTAAATCTAAAAAGCGGAAACGAAAACCTGGTGGTGATGGGGATAATCCTGTCGACGAAGATGCTGCTTCGAGCTCCGGTTCTACATCTTCCGAAAATCTTTCTGGATTCGACGAAATAGATCAAGAATCTCCTACAGTGAAGTACAAACCCTTTGTATTACCGCATTATGTCCGGTCCTACTCAGAAAACGCAGGTGGTACAGAGTTTATAGTTTTCATATCAAGTACTGATGATGCTAGACCAGTAGGCAATAGAGACCTTATGTATCTGTCCAACATATTCCAAAGAAATATGAAGGGGATTAAACAATTTAAAAGAATTAATAAATTCAAGTTTGGAATTATTTTTGACAAACCAACTATGGCTAATGCAGCACTCCAGAATAAAGATTTTTTCAAACAGCACAGATTACAAGCCAGTATTCCAGCTTCTGCATCTGAGCAAATTGGGGTAATAACGAGCGTACCTATTGATTATAGCAATGCTAAATTATATAAACATTTAACTTGTTCAAAAAAAATTATATCTATTCGTAGGTTTATGCGTAGAGTAAAGAACGATAGTGGCGCAACTACATTGCAACCAACGCAAACAATCTCAATTACATTCGCATCAACCACATTGCCAGAATCAGTAGAATTAAACTCATGGCTTTTTCCCGTGAAAAAATATGTTCCTCCAATAAAACAATGCTTTAATTGTTTATTATATGGTCATACAGCTGCATTTTGCAAAAATGCCACAAAATGCTCGAAATGTGCAGGTAGTCATAACTATAGAGAATGTGATAGTCAAATACTTATCTGCTTTCATTGCAAAGGTAGCCATATAGCCATAGATAGTAACTGTCCTATAAAAAAGCAAAAAATTATTGAAAATAAAAGAAAAATTAATAATCCAGTACCATATATTGACATCTTAAATACTAAGCAGTTTCCTGCATTACATAGTAAAAAACAAAATGACAATGAACATGACTTCACCAAATTGTTGATAAATGACCATATTGTAAATATTCTTGTACAAAGTCTAATTAAAATTAAGGCAAGCGGTGTAACAAATTCCAGTAACATTATAGAAGCTCTTAGAGAAGTAGTAACATCATACAAAATTAAATAATGGCTTTAAGGGTTATCCAGTGGAATGCTCAGAGCATATTATGCAATAAAAATTGTCTTACTCATTTTTTATATGAACAAGACATTCATGTAGCATTATTATGTGAAACATGGTTGAGACCCGAATTAAATTTTACAATAAGAGGCTACACAGTAGCCAGGTTGGACTCTGGTAATAGACACAATGGTGTTGCAATTGTCATTAGAAACGATATCCCCTTTCAGACAATAGATACTACATTTGATAACTCTATTCAAAACATAGCTATTCAAGTAAGATTCCATAATACAGATCTTTCCATAGTAAGTATTTATTGTCCTCCTTATAGTACACCTAGTTTTTGTAAAAATAAATTAGATAATTTAATAAAGCTGATCCCTGAGCCAATGATAGTTGCTGGTGATTTTAATGCCCACAATACCTTGTGGGGGTGCCACTCAACTGATAACCGTGGTAGAGACATTAGTGACATAGTTGAAAACAATGATTTATTTCTATTAAATGATGGCAGGGCCACAACAGTAGGTTCTGCTAGTTGGAGGCCAAGTGCTATAGATCTCACTATTGTTTCTTCTTCCATTGCTCTTGCGTGCAATTGGGAAGTCCATGATGATCCTCTTGGAAGTTATCACCTCCCTGTTATGACAGAAATATCACTACAATCACATTCCTATGCAAACTCATCATCTAACATTCCAATTCATTATAATCTTAAGTTAATAGACTGGAAAAAATATTCAATTTTAGTAAATCAGAAGCTCCAATCTTTTAACATAATGGATAATGTCATTGACTCATATAACAGTTTCTGTGGTGTACTACATGAAGCAGTTGCTGAATCAAGTCCTCAAAGACCCATATCTGGGTCAAACAATAGATTACCTCATAAAAAGTCTAAGTTAACAGTTCCATGGTGGAACATCACATGTAGTGAGGCAGTGAAAGCTTCAAAGCAAGCATATACTTTATTTAAATCCAACTCTACACCAGAAAATTATGTAAATTTCAAAAGGTTACAAGCACGTAAAAAAATGATCCTTAAACTTGAGCAAAAAAAAAGTTGGCAAAGTCTTTGTGAATCTTTTAATAGAAATACTCCCATTAAGTTTATATGGCAATATATGAGAAAATTTAATAGTACTTCTCCTGGTAGCAAAAGCTTTTCAGATAAGTGGGTCACCCCCTTTCTAAACAAGTATACCCAAGACAATGATTCAGAAACTTCTCCTTTTGTATTACTAGGACATAAATTAAATGACACCAATAACTTTATTGTACACCCTTTTTCTTTGCAAGAACTTCAAAGTGGCTTAAAATCTCGTAAAAATACTGCATGTGGACTAGATTGGATATCTTATCGCATGTTTAAGGAACTAAATGATAGTTCACTTCAAACCTTTTTATATATCCTCAATTCATTATGGATCCACGATGAAATTCCTGATTCTTGGAAAACAGATTGTATAGTCCCTATCTTGAAACCAAACAAGAAACCAGGTTTAGTTGATTCATACCGCCCCATAGTCTTATCTTCATGTGTTGGTAAGATATTTGAACAGTTGCTTAAACAGAGACTAGAGTTCTATATAGAGAAATATGGAATTTTACCTGACAACCAATTTGGATTCAGGAGAGGGAAATCCACTCGGGATAGTATGTGTCATCTTCATCTGGATATTCTGAAAGCTTTCTCAGATGACAAAGCACTTCTTTGTGTCTTCTTTGATATAGTTGGTGCTTTTAACAACATTAACCACCAAGTTTTATGTTCGGAACTAAATTCCATTGGATTACCTGCAAAAGTCATAAATTGGATTTTTAATTTCATAAATGGTAGAAAAGTTTTTGTTAAATATAATTCTATGCTGTATGGCCCTAAATACTCATTTAAAGGTAGTTGTCAAGGTAGCATTTTAAGTCCTCTTTTTTTCATTTTGTATATAAGAAAGCTTAATATAATCTTAGGAACTAGTGTATATAATTTGCAGTTTGCTGATGATTTAGCTATTTACTGTAGCTCTAACAGTATTCAGGAATCAGTTGATAAATTGAACCACACAATAACAAGACTTAAATCATACTTTGATTCACTACATTTGAAAATTAGCCCAGAAAAAAGTAAAGTAGTTGTTTTTAGCAAAATAAAATGTTCAGTAAATGTAAATATTATATATGATAATTCAATTTTGCCTGTTGTAAATAATGTAAAGTTTTTAGGGGTGATATTTAGTAGTAATTTGTCTTTCAAGTCCTATGTTTTAAATATAATTGATCGTGCTAATAGAGCATTTAATATTTTGAGAAGTTTAGCGAAAACTTCATGGGGTTCAGATCCAAAAATATTAAAACTTCTATATAAATCACTTGTTCGGAGCCATTTCGAATATGGATTTTTATTTTATTCAAATTTAAACCAGTGTATAGAAAAATTGGAAAAAATACAAAATAAATGTCTAAGACTTATCATTGGTGCAATGAATACATCACCAATCAATTCATTACAGATTGAATGTAATATTGAACCTCTTAAATTCAGATTTCACTATTTAAGAAAAAAATATATTTTAAAACAATTTTCTGTCCTTAACAACAGACTACTCCCAAAAATATTAGGTTTCACAAACAACGTTAATTGTCCATTTATTTCTGAAAATGTAAATACTTTATATAACAATTATTATAATATTGTAAAAAGATATATGAATTGGCCTTGTTACTGGTGTAACTATGATATTAAATTTAATGACATTCAAGTTGATATTGATAACAAGTTGCAAACTAAGCAAGATGTATATAGAGAGTTGTATAAATGGTCAAGTTATAAAAAAATATACACAGATGGTTCAAAAACTGCTACATCTACTGGAATTGCTATTTACATCCCTCACAAGAAAACTGGCTTTGGTGTTAAGATAAATCCCCACTGTTCTATTTTTACTGCAGAAGCTCTAGCCATCTTAGAAGGATTAAGCTATATGGAAGATATTGAGTGTAATATAGAAAAGTGGCTAGTAGTAACAGATAGTCAAAGTGTGCTTTATGCATTGCAGAACCACACCTACAGAGCTGACACAAATTATATCATTGAATTGATACGAATTAAATTAGGAAACTTACAGCAGAAGAATATTAAAGTGGCCTTTTTTTGGACGCCTTCACACATCGGAGTTCATGGAAATGAAGATGCTGATGCTCTTTGTACTGCTGTAGTGAGAAACGACAGATGTGCTGTGAGAGATATAGCTGTACCATATACAGATCTCATGCCTAACCTCAAACAAGAAATCAAGACCCAATGGCTCGACCACTGGAAGATATCTCTGCAAGAGAAAGGAAAATGGTTTGGAGAAATTCAGAAAGACATACGTGCCTCCTGGTTTGATAAAGGACAGTACAGGACGAGAGATTTTTATACCACTTTAAGCAGACTTCGAATAGGTCATTGCCTTTTTAAAGATCACCTGTACCGGCTAAAGATGGTCAGCTCACCTGTTTGTAACTTCTGCAACATAGATAATCAGTCCTTGGACCATATCTTTTTCTTTTGCGGTTCATTTCAAGTACAGAGAAATTTGCTGCTTCAAGACCTTCGAAGTACTTTTGGCGAAGAAACCATCCCGCGCGACTTGAGAAAACTTTTACAAAATAAAGACACCTACATTCCTTTATACAAATTTATAAAAGCTACAATCAAAACACTTTAAGAAAGAAAAGTTAACAGACAGGGCTGTATGGACTCAGAATCCTTTGCCCGTCCCAACAGGGACAAATTAACCAAAAAAAAAAAAAAAAAACACATTATTTAGAAGTAAGTTAGGGTAATTTGTAATTAAATATTATACATTAGGTTTAAGTTGTTGTTATTGTATTTCTACATATTGTAATTCTGTAAATCACACTAATATTATATAGGCGAAAGTTTGTGAGTATGTGAGTGTGTATGTTTGTTACTTCTTCACGTCTAAACCCCTGGAGCGATTTTAATAAAATTTGGTATGGAGTTAGCTGACACCCTAGATTCACACATAGGCTACTTTTATCCCGAAAAAAATGTTAGGTTCCAGAGGGATTTTCAAGAAACGAAGTTAACGCAGACGAAGTCGCGGGCGATCTCTAGTAAATCATAATAGGAACTCGATATTGTATATAAATATTACTGGGTGAGGTTTGGCATGTTTATCTTCTCTTTAAAGTTGCATAAGTTGTTCTGTTGCACTCGTCTCAGGATAGAGTATCATGCCAGGATCAGGAATGCTATGTAGGTAGTTCCTTAACGTAGTTGGTTAGCTAACTAAGCTAAGGCTCGGTTTATTTTTTTCTGGGAATATCTTAACTACTAGATTTATAAATATTATGAAAGTTTTACTAGAATCATTGTCGGATTCGAACCTCCGCTATCCGGGCAGATGCACTGACAAATTTTATTATAATGCGATTCAACTAAGAATAGGACCGACTGGGCGCCATATTGTGATGTCATAGCTGTCAATTCAAACCAAATAGGTAGAGTGAGCAAAAAAAGTTTTTATTTAATAAAACTTATTTACTAAGATTAAGTGAGAAAAAGCATCAGTTTTTTTAATAAAATTTATTTAACTAAGATTGAGAGAGAGAAAAACACCGATTTTTAATAATATTTATTTATTTAGACTGTGAGAAAAAACATTAATCAGAATCTAACCGCCGGAGTAGTTATGAATAATCATACACTATTACTAGGTCACATACGAGAATGCATCCTTCATGTAACCGAAAGTTTGAAATCAAGCTTCTGAACGCAACTTAAAGTGACACTTGGTTGACGATTAAGGTTATCAACCATTCATGGCCAATGAGTGGTCAAAGCTCAATAAGTGAAAAAAAATATCAACCGATATTAGTTATCAATATTTGTTATTGTTTGTTTACAAATGTTTGGTTTTTATTCTTGAATTAGCGGTATGCTAAAAAAGGGTTCCAAGTTTTTTTTTGCAAACCGTACTTTTCAAGCGACATTTGACAGATAGAGGTCATTGGCTTTTCTTATTTGAATCGCATTATATGATACCGCGATCTTGTGTCTAGTTTCTAACTGTAATGCAACCATATTTTCAGTTTTTCAAAATTAGTTTGAATGCCTAATCGACAGCAAGACCAAGAAGGAAATTTATTCTCATCACCAAGAAATTTATAAGAATAAAAGTAGAAATATGTCGTGTAGTGTTGTGACGCGATCGGTTTCATACATTTAGTATGGTACTTATGTGTCGCGATGTGTCCACACCGTTCTCACTGTATTCTGTAACCATACTTATTATATGAAACAGATAGTTCTCTGATGCGTCACAAGTCACAACACAACACCGTTGACTTAAATTTTAAGGCGACCAAAAGTCATGGCCGTTTGCCCCTTAGTCGTTCAGCCCCCCATAGAGGACCCAGGTACGGTGGGAGTACTTCACAAGGTGCAAGGTCAAGGTCAAAGGCCCCTTATGCTTTTCGTTCTCGAGTAAATCCAAAAGTCCCCGCTTGGGTAGAATCCCTACTATTAGATTTCTGTGGGATTCTCAAGCTATTAGTAGGTATGTCAAAGTAGTATGAATAGGTATTTCATTTCCTTCAAAAATTACTATGTTCTTCTGTCACAAAGACAACCAGAATTCATTCATCCGAGTGACACATCCATATTTCCCAAACATGGCATCAGTATAAAAGAAAATCACAAAATACATAAATCTGTTTCGTCAAAATTTACAGTTAAGTTATAGTTACCTACCAAACAATTGACAGCAATGGCAACATTTACCATACAGCACATATTTTCCTTGGCATGCCGAGACAGGTGCATTGCGAAGATGAGAACTTTGATACCTCTACCAACGCAGGGGCCGCCACCCAAGGACACAGCTGCAGTGCTAGTGCCACTTTGCCGAGTCAATGGCATTCCCTCATTGTTGTACGCAATGCGCTCCAACCACTTGGGTATGAATACTGGCCTTGTTTCCTTTCCCGGAGGCAAATCTGACCCAAAGGAAACTGCTGTACAAGCCGCCTTGAGGGAGACATACGAGCAATTAGGGATTGCACCTGACAAAATCAACGTTTGGGGACAAGGCCCTGCTATACCCAGTCGCAACAGCGAATACATGATTACCCCTGTGATCGGCGTCATACCAGAATTAAAATCTTCGGACATGAATATAAACATCCTCAAAGTCGCAGAAGCGTTCACTGTACCTGTAGAGATTCTATGCAATCCTAAAAACCAGTACTACACTCAATATAGCAACGGGTTGATTTTACCAGTATTTATCGCTGATGAATACAAGATTTGGGGCATTACTGCTTATATCACCCACACCTTTTTAACTTGCGCTCTTTCTAAAGAAGTTTATCAAAACGAGTGGCTTAAACAGAAGATAGACCTCAATACATCCTCGTCATGAAACATTTATGGTGGAAATACATATTGCAAACAGTTTTATTAAATTAATGTTCATGAGTATAAATACATTGTGGATTCTAATAAAAATAAAAAGTCCACGGTTTCATTTATAAATTTATTGGTAGAAAGATTTACAAAAGCTATTTTATATTTTTCGATTATCACATTTTGAGCAATCAAACATTTTAAATACGATATAGTACTTAACTATAAAAAAAAACAACGGACATGTGCTGTTGCGATAGAAGTGAAACACAAAAAATTAAACACGTAAAAGTCCTTCATGACTAGGTACGTCTTAACAAACGAGACGAGAGAGAGTTGAATTTTAACACCTGAGTTAAAATTCAATTCTCTAGGTCAAAATTAAATATTTTATACTTAAATTGTTTCGAAAAATGAATAAATGAAACATTAATATACTATTTCATTTATGTTTAAAATTTTCTCAAACAAAAATAAGCTTTATTACCGACTTAGACACCAAGTTTCATAAATGTATTTGCGATCTCACGCTCCATCCAAGGAATTTTTAATAAACTATTTTAAAGATTAGATAATATTTAAAGCACGCATGCTTATATGCTAGTATTGCTACAAAAGCACTGCCGTAATCGTAATAAGAAAATGCATAATTTTTCGATAGGTGGCGGCACTAAAACGAAATGAAAAAACAAAAATTTACGTATTGTACAAAGATTAGATTGAAGCTATGTAGCGATTAACGAGTAAGAAATAAACTGTAATAATATCAGACGATATCTATTAAATAAATATTGTACAACATCATATACATACTATTACTATACAAAATTAGTTAATTGAAGCTTTTGTATTAAGGGAATCAGAAAAAACTACAATACACGCGGGTGTTTGCGACAACCGCTGCATGTGCGCGCGGGTCACGATCACTCGAAGACTCGGCCGGTTTCGCCTGATCTGCCGCTTTTTTTATAAGTGTGTATGCACACCTGTGTGTATGCTGTTGGTCGACCTCTACAGCGTCACCGAGTTTGGGGACGGCGAGATCCTAAGGTCCCTCAAGCCGAGAATTGGCGAATGCCTCTAGAGGTATTCCAGGCGGATTGCATCTCCCCACGGGGGGAGCGACTTTTCCGTCTGGAGCCTCTAGCTAGATCACTCGAACCCATGGAGCACCCCCAGAGTCCGCATCACACAAATTTTGTTTGGAATCAAAATCACCAAAGTCGGTGGCGTGCAGGGCGGTCAGCCCCGTTGTGATTGGACGCGTCAAGGTCAGATCATATACTCAGTGCAGCGAAGTGATGAGGGTAAGATCGATTTTAGAAAATATGTGGGGGTGCTCCGTGCTCGAACCGGAGGGGGTTGACTCAACTAGAGGGCGTCTCTGAGACTCGAACCTCGGCTCTAGTTAGCCGCTGTCGTGGGGGGAGGGGAAAAACGCCCAGGTATGTACCTGTACCTGGTATAGCGTGTCGTGTGTACACCGGGTCTTTGCACTCTTATGCTAAGCCGATCTGCCGCTGCGGCTGAAGGGAAGTACGATCTTGTGAGTTCTAAAATAAAACCGCTGGACAGCGGGAAAAAACCGCTCCGTGAGTTCTTAGCCTTAGTCCAATACCTACCTACCGTGTGGTCTTTTATCCCTTTCTATTACAAAACTTTGACATAATGTAAACCCGGGGGTCAATTGCCTAACGGGATTGCTATGGCTATCACTTGCGATTTTATTTTGTTATTTCTGACCGCCACGCCGAAGGTTTTCAAATGCCGCGCGCTCGTTTTTTTTTTACTTTTGCATTGGTAATAACAATGTTAAAACAAATTAGCGCGAGGTATTTGAAAACCTTCTGTGGTCAGAAATAACAAAATGAAATCGTAAGCGATAGCAATAGCAATGCCGTTACGGGATGGGCACCCCGGTTTAAATTAAGTCCGGTATATTAAACTGTCAAGAGTGACAGAGCTAGCTCGCTAAAGAGAAGACAGAGACAACATTAGGTTTAAACCAAGCGTAACTATGATTTTATTTATTTTTTAAGCATTTAACTGCTAGATGTTTAAATCTAAAGAAAAGTTTATTAGAAAAAAATCCACGCGGACCAGGCAGCGGACGGGACTCGAACCCGTATCCTTCGCTATCCGGGCGAATGCACTGACCATTATGCTACCACGGCCCTATTAGCCGCATCGAAATTTTCCTAGCCTTAAGCTGCAAGGCAGCGCCATCTCTTCGCATTGTAGGTAACCCACAATACCACAAGCGTAACTAATTGGGTCTGGCTTTGCCATCTATACTAATTGTACTATAAACGCAAAATGTATCTGTCTGTTACCCCCTTTCACGTTTAAACCGCTGAACCGATTTGAATGAAATTTGGTATAAAGATAGATTCCTGAAACAAAATTATGTCCGAAGACACAAGCAAGGCACCAAAGCGTGTATAGCTAAATTTTAATTGATGTAAAAAGAAAGTAAAGAAGCAAAGCTAATGTTTAAAATAATAAAATCAAAAATCAAACCTTATGTTCAAAATCAAATCAAATGATGATAATGACTGAATATATGTGCATAAATTAATAGGTAGGAACCAAAAACAAAGGAACCAAAAAATAAAACAAACAAAAAAGAAATAATATTAATCCAGGTTTATTTCTTAACATTTACATTAAAATCTAGTTAATATTTTATACATTGTCCAATCGACATGTTGATCGTCTCTCGCCCTTGTCTCTGTTGTGTGTACTGTGTCAATTATGTAAATACTTTTCTAATACCATTATAATAATATCGGAAAAATAATACGAAATATAGAAATTGCAAAAACATCTACATTTATATAGGTGGTCCAACTTAAAGCCTCACTTAGTAACATTCTATTGTAATCCTCACAAATATGTATAAATAAAAAACGTAAATAACAAATTAACGAATATTTTGTATTTTATAATAAAAGGACATAAGTACTTATAGTAAATCTACCTTTAAAAGGTAACCTTGAGGCAGGCAAGAGCACTATCAAAATGCTACTAACTGGTATATAATTAAATATAATTTATTGTAATTTAGAATTGGTGGACGATAAAATTAAGGCAGAGGCATTAAAAACAAAATGGCGGTGAAATTGTATATCTACTACTAACCTAAACACTAAATTATAAGGTCTCCAAAAAAAAGAACAAAATAAAAATGAATACTGTAAACCAATCTTATATCTATTGTGAATATATAATACAAAATACATTATTACTGATCGCCTATTCGTTGTGTTTGAACACTGAAACTATTCTAAGTACTAGTACACCAAGGTTCTATGTTTCGTTTTTACTGTAAAAAGGTACACTGCGAAATTATAACAATAAATCGGCTACCACAATTTTTCACTTAATTTGTTCAGCACCTCTGCCGGTATAGAACATCAATTCGACGATATGAATATATAAATAATGAATGCAGTTTTGAAAACTGCTTTACCAAAACTAATGGCCACAATCACCCCTCACATTTTATATTCCAACATTACTCACAATCCAGATGCTTCTAAAAAAAGGACAAAATCAAAGTTTTATCAATTGCAAAACTTAACTGTCAGCCGTAAGCACTGATAACTTTCTTTTATATATCACCATTTTTGTTTATGTAAGAAGTTTAGTATGGATAGTGTTGATCAACATTTTTAAAAGCTTGAACCTTTAGAAAATCCAAAATCTTTTGCAAAACAGCTCACAAATTTAACAGGTGTTAAGTATAACAATTTAATTGCACCATACATACTATACATCCCAAGTCACAGATTACCCAACATAAAAGACTACAAATTTACAAAAATATATTAGTGTCTCTTTCCATCTGGTTTATACGAGGGAGGAGCGGAATTGTATCACACGGAGCAAAGTGAAGGAAGATAAGTCCTCGGTACAAAATAAACACAGAACACAGAAAGAGGCAAGAAAGGTGATCATAGACCGAGACATTGTACGAGAACCGATGTCGCCGGCTCGCCCCACTACACTTCTACCTAATAGATAATAGCCTATCAAATGATGCGACATCAAACAATCGAACCAATCAGCGCTCACACACGAGATCAACGACGCAATCAGAACCAAGATTTGGTCAAGTTATGAGTACTTGGTCACACAGAACTGTGGCGCGCCTGCCCCGCTAACAAGTCCCTCCTTACCTATTTCTGTGTTCTGTATTTACAAGGCTGCAGAGAAAATTTTAGAAAACAAATGACAATTTGAGTGTCAATAGCCACAGCTCTAAAGTTGCGTTCAGCCACTTTACGTAATACGTGAAACTGCCACCCCAAGCAACTTCAGAGCGAATCTCATGTGCCGAAAGATCGAAGTGAAAACATACGAATCTTATTGGACTTATGGACGGCCTTAGACGATTAAATAATCGACAATGCGAGAAATGCAACATAAAAAGCACGCGTTCGATGCTAAACAACACGGTGGTTCATCAAATTTTCTGCCTAATGTAAGTTGTACCAAGGCTCATTTTCGCTCGCACGTCGCGCTGTTACTCGGCGTTGTTGAGATCGCTCACGTCGATGGGGATGGAGATGGTAAACGTGGGCGTCTCGAGTTCTTCGTGTTTCTTCATCTTCAGCGCCTGCGACATCAAAAACTCCGTTTAAGGATATCAGAATTTTTAAAATTACTATTGAAGTCAAAGTGCTTGTAAGATAAAATTGAGGACGTGCAAAACATTTCTTGTCAATTGATTTCCAGAAATAAACAATTCAATTGTGTATTTAAGTGCTTCGACTATTCGTAGGTAATCCTTTACATATTTCAGATTTTCTCGACAAATTACATTTTTATTAAATATTGTCGACAGAACGAATTTACTTGAATACATTGTTCCTATCAATGGAATATTAGGCATGTAATCTGTAAAATTTTTATTTTTAGAACCCAAAGCAATGTAGGTGACAATGCCTTCCCTTGTAATCCACAGAAAAAAAAACTAACAAAAAAAATGATTTCAGTCAACGCATTTGTTTTATTAAGTCCTAATTATTGTCCTCATCTTACAAGGAACAAAATAAATTCAATTTAATCTGCACAATTTGTAGTAAAGAAAGTACAGTAGCAGAAAGCAAACATAATAAATAGCAGTAATACCTGACCCTTTGAAATATTGTGACGAACAAAAAGCACGCAATGATTGAAGTTTCATAATGAAGATGCAGAACAAAATTATCGATAGTATGAATATAAATAACATTTGTCTAGCTTTCTAAAGAATTTCTCTCATTACATATTATTATGTACCTTATATTTATGTAGTCTTTCGAATTGCTAATTATTACCACTCTCAGAGTGTACTTTTCTAATTACGGTTGCAATCAGAGACGTCAATTAATTTGTAAGTTTGAGTATGACTTGAGATTACAATACACTGTCAAATATTAAATTAAATCTTTGATTGCGACAGTAATGGTGGACTCTCACCATCCTGCCGCTTGATCAAATAGGATTGATCAAGCCAAACTGACCGTGTGTGGGGAGATATTTCGGAAGGATATTTGAAAGGACACAGGATTTGCCACTTGATGGAGGGATTTTGGCTTGATCAAAGCTATTTGATCAAGCCACTTGTTCAAACCTATATGATCAAGGCACTTGATCAAGCGGCAGGATTGGGTGGCCACCATAAGAAAAATATCTAACGAAAATTAAAATCACACTGTAAGCCTGTAATGTGGATTACTTTATGATTAAATCATTATTTTTTTACGAAGACACTGATTCATTTCAGTTTAGAGTAATTGTTAATTTGATTTTGTAAATCAGCACGTTTATTCATGAGACACACAGGTTAAATAAAAAACCTTTTGTTACTTCGAATTGTTATACAAAAAAAGTTTCATTCATTATACGAAGTTAAATAGATGCAGACGCAGGTTAATTTTGTAAATTGGATCTTGAATGATTTATGCCTAAAAACAAAACCGTGACACATATATGATTCATAAACTATGTGTTTTTGCCCTGAAATGTGTATATATTCATAAAAATAACAAATATTTTTTTAAGTTATTCCTTCAGTGTGTGATGATTAAATGTCCAAATTTATTATTATTTTAATGTTACTTTGGACAATGAATAAGCCACACGCAAGCCTACGCGACGGTTGATTTATATATTTTTCATTCTTTTCTTTGCTTATTAAAAAAATTTCATCTTTTAAAAAGATTTTTTTATATGAAAATCATTTCGTAATATTCACCACATTTTTCCGCAACATGTCTATCGCAATATGATATGAAAATGAAACACAGGTTTAAAAATTATTATCAACTACGATAGTTAAGACTCAATATTCCGGTCAATCTAGACAGTGCCGGTACTTAGAAAAAAATTACTCGAGGTCAAAGGTAAAAAAAATGGCGCGATTTTCATCAAAACGGTAAGTTTTATCGTAAAATTACCTCCGACAAAAAATGTATATTATAAAATTATCTATAAAAAGGTATCAATATTGTTTTTCCTAAGAGCCACCGTACCTAAAGATGTAATTAGTGTAAAAAACAGATCTATGGTTCGATCCTGAGCACAGATACTAGTTATTGATTTAAGGTGTTATTGGAGTCGAGTCCAGTCGAACTTGAACCCAATTCCCTACCCCGAAGGTTTTTTTAATTATAACATTACTTAAGCGTGTCTACATTGTATCGTGGAAATAACAGTGAAAACGTTATACGTAGTTTAAATTGATTGGCTTCGATACTGCATCAGTGTGATTTAATCGTATGTGTCGATAAAACACAGTATCACACCATTTTGCGATAGTCATGCCAACGTGGAAGTATGAAGTGAAATATTAATATAAATAATTTGTTTTAGTGTGAGTTGCATGAATGATGGTCTACTGCGAAGGTCGAGTAAGCTAGAACAGTGTTTATGTATATGATGGTAGGGTCGACATTCACACGACGTACCGCGGAGGAGCGCAGCCGCGGCGCACTCTTGAGGCCCGCGCCCGCCGCCAACTGGAGGAAGCCACCGGTCATACAGTATCATGATAAGTTACCCCGACCGATGCAGGCGGAAATCGCCTTTATGATATGTTACTTTAAAGGCTAAAGTCGCTTGCGACTGCCAAATTATAGTACAGGGTAGATTTCAGCTTTTCTTTCTTAGGTAATGCATGAATGACATCAGTTTTTGTTTCTTTTTTTATGTTAAAAGAGTGGCAAACAAGCTTTTGGCCAGTACCATCAGGCGTGATGGTAAGCGACCAGCATAGCCTATATGGCCTATAAGATAGACGCTTCCGATACAAAAATTATCACTCGCGCCGTTGTCTACCCTGACCTCATCTCCTACCTTGTGTAAACCAACTACCGACTATATTGCCCAAATAGACAGACATAGCAATGATTTCACATGGATATTCGTATGTTTTATTTGTAAACTTGAAAACAGTCTCTCCTTTTCATTGATAAGGAGAACTAGACTTTGTTAAAACGACAAATAGCAAATACGAATAACCGTGATGGGATGATACAGATCAAAATCGCTTACGCGCGTCTTAACAAAACAAAAGGTAGGCCTAACTTTTCGGTCATTGGCTTTCGTGCCACTTTGAACTTTGTATGCGTCGCATTACAATTCAACTATGTGTAGTTGATTTATGCAAAGAGCCGAGGTAACTTATCTTTGTGCTCCTACTTTGGGGAATTTTGGAGTGACTTAAATAATAATATGTAAGTAAATAGATTATGCGCCAACATTTTAGTAATTTGTAAAATTTGTTATACAACATATTTTTTACAATAAGAACAGTTATAAATGTAACTATCTGAAACATTTGATAAAAGACAAGATGAAAACTAGAATGTCAGCGCTTAAGATAATACCATAAATATAATAATATAACAACTTAAACAGAAGATAGAAAATAGAGTAAAGAAATCCAGCTTCTAAAGGAACATATAACACATACACAAAATAAAAAGATATATTGTTGTAGGAAACGTTCAATTGTCTGTTGAACACATTTTACTTGCATTTTACCCTTTCGGGTATTTATTTGATGTCCTAATACTAATGTTGGTGATAAAAAGATTAAGGGGTGAACAGGGGAGTACTATGAGTTTAAATTTTAATTCAAAATTTCAGTCATCAAAATGTACAATTATAAAATGAAGTACGTTATTCGTGCTTATAATAAACAAATATTGCAAAATATAATAAAAATATATGGTTTTCTTTATTATTTCGAACCCCGATTTTACCTGCGGACTAAAACATCTACCCAACGATATTTAATACCCTAGATCTAACATCACGAACAAAATCGTGGCCGAAACCTGTCTAAAAGATACATTGAACGACCCACCCACGGAGCTCCGTAAGATGATCACGTAGGTAGTAAAAAAAAAATAAGGCATTATTTGAACATTCAAAGTCACCATTAATATTAAATAAAGTCTTAATTTAAATGCATGCATTAAACAGTTATGGCAGTTCGAAATGCAAGCTCGTAAAATTTTGTTTTATGAGCTTGGCGACTTGTTGCTATAGGCGGAAGAATATAGACATTTCTATGACTTAATATCGTAATTCTGAATGCGATGTTAGCAATATAGCAGGGGGCCAATCGCCTAACGGAAATGCTTTGGGAAACGCTAACGCTTACGATTTTATATTGTTATTTCTAGCCGCCTGAGGTTTTCGAATACCTCACGCTCATTTTTTTAAATATTGTTATTACCAATGCAAAAGAAAAAGAAAGAGCGCGAGGCATTTAAACACCTCAGGCGGCTAGAAATAACAAAATAAAATCGTAAGCGTTAGCGTTTTCCAAAGCATTTTCGTTAGGCGATTGGCCACCAGGTACGGAGCGCGAGGAAAAGAGACGGCTATACAACCGACCATGCATTTGAATTTCAAAAATATTTTCTATTAAATCAGTTTATAATAAATATTAGTTATTAACAAAATTTGCATCAAATGAACTAAATCAACAAACATTGATTGTAAGATATTGATGAGTATTTTTTCGCGTTTTCTTCAGCGTTTTTTTCCGGAGCTCTGTGGCATGTTGACTTTTCATCGGTCCGATCGTCACTGTGAACCATGAAGTGCTGGAGTCGTGTTCAAGCACTTCTTGATTGGGACACATTTTGAGCGCATGTGGTGTATCTAGCGGTATTAAATATCGTTGCATCCACCATATAAAAATAAAAAAAATATTCGCTTTTAGTGCTGCCATAAGTATTTTAAATACAACCCCATGACAAGGAGTGTGAGAGGAGGGCAGCAGCTATCTCTCTCGCAATTGTGGTGCTTATGTCGATTACGTCACAGCATTTAGTGCCGTCCCAATTTGTATTTTGACGTTTCTTTCTCAAATCAAATTTAGGAGTAATGTAACTTTTAATTTAAAAAGTCAGGATCGCGTGGAGCTTTTCCTAGTAAAATTTTCATTCGATTTACAAATAATAAAAACTGAAAAGTTGTCACTAATAAAATTTTGAGAAAATTAGATTTATATGTTTAGTTTTTAAACCAATACAACAGTTTAACAATATAACGAACAGGTTTACCTCCCCTATTTACCATGTAAACCGTTACAGAGTATTGTTGATTGGCTGTGTGTTCTTAATGCCGGCACTTCACTTGGCTATTCGTGTTTGTTATTTGTAAATTAGACATCAGCCTGTCTTTTTCATTTCTTATAATATAAAGCATGACAGATTGTTGTCAAGTTTACAAATAGCAAATACGAATAGCCAAAAGAAGTGCCGTCATAATAATTGGCCGCTGGTTGAGTGCTATGCCAACTTAAATGGCGACTGTGAAGTTAAAACAAGTTGCGGATTAGTACCTGCGTATAGTTACGATTATATAGGGTGAACTTTAATGTTTTAGTGAAACTTCGTGGGATTGTTGGGTTACGTGTATCAAGTATGTCTGGTTTTTTCCGATTTTGAAAATTTTATTTTTCATTTTATATTTTTTATTTGTGATTTTTTTATGTCCTTTTCTCCTTTTGAGTAATTATTATTTTAAAACACGCATACATAGTGAGTGAAAATCAACTATGTTATACGCCAGCCGGCCCGGATCAACGACCGCGCCCGCCGAAACATTCAAGTTCATTATAAAACATTGAATTTTGAATTCAATTTCACCCTATATGTCTATAACATACTATGAACTTAAACCTCACAATCGCCTTATAGTTCAAAAAGCACTCTTTGCGTAGTGTGGATATTACGTAGTGAAATGTAAAAGTGAAAAAGACTTTTTGGTTTTGTTGCGATATATCGAGCAATGGTTGTGTGTGGCGACATTACCTGCTGCAGCTTGTAGTGGTTGATGATGTCCTGGTCGGCGGGACAGCTTTGGGTAAACGCGTCTAGTTGGTACATGTGGTGCATGTAGCGCCAGAGAGCGCGGAAACTCGTCTATAACAACAAAAACATACATGTTTTTATTTATTTTTAAGCATTTAACTGCTATGTTTAAATTACTTGTGCATTTTTATGTCCTTTTCTCCTTTTGAGTAATTTTTTTTTTCAAACACGAATACAATAGTGAGTGAAAATCAACTATGATATAGGTATGTAATAAATAAACACTACTAAAACATATAAAAAAAACCGCGACGGCCAGCCGGGATCAACGACCGCGCCCGCTGAACGAACGAAGTTTCTAAAGAAAAGTTTACTAGAAAAAAATCCACGCGGACCAGGGGGCGTACGGGACTCGTACCCGCACCCTTCGCAATCCGGGCGAATGCACTGACCATTATGCTACCAAGGCCCTATTGGCCGCGTCGAAATTTTCCTAGCCTTAAGCTGCAAGGCAGCACCATCTCTTCGCATTGTAGGTACCTCACAATGTCAAATGAATACTTTTTCAAGTATTCACACACATAAATACATACATATTATTATTATTTTTCATTTATTTTGTCAACAAACAGTCATTTACATAATATTGAGGTACATACATAAATGTAAATATTAATAGACCAAACAGTGCCCAAAGCTTATTACAATTATAGTAGCAAAGAGTCTTAACATAGTCAGATATGCATGTGTATTCATCTAATGCTTAACAATTTATTGACACAAATAAAATAAAATTAATAATGTTTTTAACCATCAATATAACACTTAATTTTCTTTTTTTTTTAACTATTAGATACATATGTGATTACAAAGATCCAAATCAGAGAACTATTTGTTATCACGCAAAAACTAGTGAATGGAATTGGATTAAATTTGGTACGTATATAGTTTATGATCTGGACTGAGACATGGGATATATGTTACCTCGAAAAAATTTTAGCTTCCAGTGGGATTTTAAAAATAAAAAAAGTATAAAACCAAAATTTAATTGGATTCTCACCGGGATTTCGAAGTCCACGAAATACTTGCCGGCGACGCGGATGTGCTGCAGCCGCGGCATCAGCTCGCAGTCGAAGCAGCACATCGTGTCACCCGTTAGGAATCTGCAAAGCATATCATGGTGAACATTTAAATACTCATAATTGAGGAGCTGGCGAAAAAAGCGGTATAATTACGCATATGGTTTTGGGCCAGCTGAAATTGAATTTCAACTCATGTCAATCAAAACCGCCTAAAATAGTGTTAAAACTAAATTTAAAATCACGCCAAAAGCTCACTGTAGGTATGTTATTCAGTTTTTAACTGCTCCTGTAAAATTTAATTTGATGTAATTATGCCGCTTTAGCTGTCCTCAGCTAAAGCGGCATAATTACAGCTCCTTCCTCATTTTATGTCTCAAGAAGTTTCTTTACTATCTACAAATCTTTTAAAATAACATTAAAATAATTCTGAAATAGAGTCGGATTTCTTCTTCATTGGATGCGCTCACAGGCAACGTGACGTCATCGTACAATATGCGCAAGTGTGTTTACGAAAACAAAAGCGCGTTGGCATTTTGCCGAATCTTGAAGAAGCCATTGGCGTATAAAAAGAAGTAGACTACCAATCACCTAACAAAAAAAGTGCATCGAAAAACGTCCGAGTTGCACGGCGCTGTATTATAAGGTCGCCTATGACCGGATGCTTTTGAGTTTACTTAGGCTATGTGGCAATTTTTTTTTTAATTTTCAATTATTTTGTATATGAACTTAAAGCGTGGATCTAATGTCATTTGCACAGTTTTTAATAAATAAAAATTTCATAAATGCGGTCGAAACACGAGCACTTATTTGAAAATTACGCACAACAGACGCGTGTGCGTAATTTTGCTTCCATCACTTTTTGAGCGCGACTGTGAGTCTACTTGTTTTTATAAATCAACGTGTGCAGCAATTTCCAGTGCTAGAGAAAAAAAAGTTCTATATTTGAAAAATTAACAGACTCATTGCAGTCCGCCTCCGACTCCTCCCACACAGGCCACAAACACCAACACTACACAACTAACATACTTGCACACTAGCTTATACCAAGTACAGGTACGTACCTGGGTGTTTTTCCCCGCCCCCCACGGCTAACTAGAGCCGAGGTCCGAGTCTCAGAGACGCCATCTAGTTGAGTCGACCCCCTCAGGTTCGAGAGGTCTAGAGTAGAGGTGGGTAATATAGCTTTTTGTCTGAATCAAATCGAAACTATATATCGATATTCGATATCGGATTCTGAAACTATATATTTTGATATCAGTGATATCGCTGACGACCATATCAATCATATATCATTACAGGATAACAATGGAATGGAAAACTATATTTTCCTGGTACTGATACATAACGTATAATAACGTTATGTGAGTTTTAGATACATCAATATCAGGTAGGACTAGGAGTTAGATAATGCAGTATTTATCCATGTATTTAAGGGAGTAATTAAGATGATCTGTTTTTACAGGAATGTTTGTTAAAAATATAGATAATAAACTAAACATAAAAAACCGGTAGATAAATAATACACCAACAATACAAAATAATACGCTAATGCAATTTAATTGAACGTGTTTGGACGTTCGAATCTACGAAATGATAAAAATTCAAATCCGCACCAAATTTCTTTTGCTAGGGTTGAAGGATAGAGTTCAACGAGAGTAGAAATTAAATTGTGTCAAAGCTCTCCATTATTCCCTAGGAAATAAGGTTAACGATTTAATCAACAAAAATATTAACAAAAGAAGTGTATAAACTATTTTATTACGATGAAAATGAAGTGAAACATTGCAGTATGCGTTGCATCGTAACTATTGCTGTTTCACTCTCATCTTATCATGCGCTCTCCCTCAATTCCCACTTGGGTTTGGTCGCGCTCATATTCCATTGTGATACGGTTCAATATACTTTAAACAGTCTATATACGATACAGTACTGTCAACACGTATCACATTCCCAATGCAATGTAATGTTTTGCCAAAATATATAGTTTCAGAATGCATTGATATCGGATTTGACGATATTGATGCAATATACGTTTCAATATCTATATACGATTTGTATCGCCCACTCCTAGTCTAGAGGCTCCAGACAGAGAGCAGACTCCCTCCGTGGGGAGTGCCATCCACCTGGAATACCTCTAGACGCACTCGCCAATTCTCGGCTTGAGGTCCCCTTAGGATCTCGCCGTCCCCAAAGGTGACGCTGTAAAGGTCATCTGCGACCAACAGCATCTCTTATCTATTAGACAAGTCCGTCCGTCCGTCTGTGGTGCTGTTTCAGCAGCCAAACCGTAAGAGATAGATAAAGAGAATATTTAAGTTATAAGTTAAGAATAGTCTGATAAGACTACAAACCGGATTTGAGTAACGTAGCACTTCCGGTTTTCGATAAATCAGGTTTTGGTGAACATTTGGTTCACTGGTTTACTAGTATACACTAAAAAAAAATCATTGCAGTTAGTTACCTGGTAGCCCGGCGCTCCAGCAGCGCGTCGATGCGGCCGAGGTGGGCGCGCAACGCGGCCGACTTGTGCTCATCCTTGCCCACCAGCACCAGCTTCAGCTTCGAGTACAGGTTCTCGATCAGGGAGGCCACTTCTTTGTCCTGCAATGACGAAAACCGTTAGAGAAGATTTAGAGGATACACACTTATGCTACGCAAACAAAAGTATGTAAGAATCCCGTGGTCCATATAAAAAGTTCTCAGGATACAAAGTTATGGCTTATGGTGGCGCAAACAAGTCTGCACGAATCTCGTCGTCTACATGGCATAAATCACAACACCAACTTTTTCAGATGCGTCTTTACCCTAGGCAAAAAAGAAATCATACTTTTGTTTGTGCAACAGTTTGCACTGCATGATTTTGTATCGTATGAATGATGAGATTCAACATCTCAACATCGCGTGCCCCTTGTCTAACAGTATGGGCGGGTGTGTTACCTCAAAGTTGGTTCTAAAGCTATTTGTTAGGCTTTCTATAAACACTGTCCTTTACACGTCCTATCCTTAACAAGTTACCAGTACAAAAAGAGTGTGTCCTCCCGGTACGGACTTCATGATATGCTGTTCGATCTTCTCGTTCTCTAATATCGCGAGCCCGTTCTCGATCAGTACGGGCGGGCGTGTCACCTCGAAGTTGGTTCTAGAGTGAGTTGTTAGGCTTTCTATATATACTCTCAGTTACCTGTACAAAAAGATTATGTCCTCCCTCCCGGTACAGACTTCATGATGTGCCAATCGATCTTCTCACCGTGCGCCGCCTCGAAGTTGGTCCTAGAGTGATTTGTTAGGGTTATTATAAATTCTGTCAGTTACCTGTACAAACAGATTGTGTACGGAATTAATGATGTGTTCAATATTCTAGTTCTCCAGTATCGCGAGCCCGTTGCCTATCAAAATGGGCGGGTACGTCACCTCGAAGTTAGTTACCTGTACAAAAAGATTGCGTCCTACCGGTACGGACTTAATGATGTGCTGTTCAATCTTCTCGTTCTTCGGTATCGCGAGCCCGTCGTCGATCAGTATGGGCGGATGCGTCGCCTCGAAGTTGGTTCTAGAGTGATTTGTTAGGCTTATTATAAATGCTCTCAATTACCTGTACAAAAAGATTGTGTCCTCCTGGTACGGACTTCATGATATGCCGTTCGATCTTCTCGTTCTCCAGTATCGCGAGCCCGTTGTCGATCAGTATGGGCGGGTGCGTCGCCTCGAAGTTGGTGCGGAAATCTGGCGGTGGTTTCTGCATGTCCACTGTCGTCACCTAAAAGCATATAAACGTGTATTTAAATGGATGTCAATAACCTACACGACGGAATAAGTAAAAAATGTTGGAAGTTGTAAAAATCAAATAAAAAAGGGTCGAATTTAGAGAAAATATTGTGGATACAACGCTGAAAAAACCAACGAATAAGGAACGATAATTCGTTGAAAAAACGCGTTTTCTTTTTTATATGCGCCGTCGCGATGATAAAGGGGGTATAAATAACAGTTTTTTCTAAACTTTTATAGATTTTTCGTAATCATCCTTCTTTTCCTGTACTAAAATGTATATGTTGTAAGATGATTTGAAAATACGTTTTTTTGCAAAAATCCTAGGGATTTTGTGAATACGCGGATAATTAGACAATAGCGATGACATTGTCCAATCTCACCGTATAACGTATGTATTTTTTTCTGGTAACACACCTAATAATAAAAATAAAGCAAATAAAAAATTTGAATCCTTACAAATAAATATATAAACTGTACATGCTTTGTTTTCATCTTATTTTTGTCTTTTTATCAGATAAATATGACAGATTATATTACATGCCTGTTGTGGATACGAGGTACCTATAAGAATAAGTAGACGACATTGTTTTTTGTTTTACGTACGCAACACTTACTAGTTATTAAATTGACCGACAGTTTCAAATCATCGCCTCTGTTATAAAGTTAGAGACCAGTAACACAGTTTTTGGCACTGTTGGCTGTCAAATATCAAATTTCTTGCAGCATACTAAGCAAGAGTCGTGTCACAGCCTTCGTTGAGCCCGTGATGGACAAGCGTGGCCTTTCTCTTTGTTATTCTGAAGCCGTGGATGCTTTGGAGTTTTTGTCATTGTTAAATGGCATAAAATGTAACGCAACGTTGCTGCTTTGTTAATGTCGTGTCACCGCGCCAAGTCACGCCAGTCATATTATGTCATTTATATACCTATGTATTTTTATTTTGTGATTAATAAGATCAATAAATGGTAAAACGCAAGGCGCAAATAACAAAACCCTTTTAAAAGGATTTCTTATAATGGCCAAAGCAACTGAGCTATTCGGGAACATCGAAGTATTAGGTTAAACCAGTCCAAGACGCATGTACCGTACTATCCATCGTACTGATATTACAATAACAGACAGCGAATTTTGCAATAGAAATACAATTCTTAAATTCTGTGCTTACAGACGGGAACAGACAGACATCGAAGACCCGAACCACACACCTCATAATATTTTGTAGATTTTAATAATGAATATTTTTTGTAACGTAATTTGCGCGTGGTGTGAACTATCATCAGATTACAGGCCATCTGTATAGATGGAATAGGGAGATTGGCCTAGGACCCACCACGCGGGCCCAGTGCTAATTGGTGGGTGCTAACCACTGCAGATGCGGCAGAGAGCAAAGGTTAAACGTGCCTGCCGAAGCACGGGAAAACTCGATAAAATAAATTTTGCCCACCCATCCGATGACCAGCATTTGCGAAAGTAGCTCAGCTTGGTGAGAACAATATGTAGAAATTCTATAAAACGATAAAAACGGGTAATGCTACTTAAGATCCATAATGCAAAATACGCTGTGTGTGATCCTACACTTAGTTAATAGTTCGATTAATGTAAACCGACCTTAAAACATACAATATGATATCAGACGTTACGTATAATCACAAAATACATAATGGGCGTAATAAAACCTTTTTAAACCGGTTATGAAGCGCGCACATTGAGCGAGCAGGCGCATATATTAATGTTTACATGTAGGGCCTGAAGCGTCAATTGCATATTATGTAAAATAAAATTACACAGGCGCCTTACAACCTGTTTAAAAGTACATATTTTTAATAAATAATAAAGTGCTCAAGAGATGACAAACAATTACGCTACGTACACACATTCACCTAGAGTACCTAATTATGATAAATAAATATTTACAATCTGGTGTACATGTCTTAATAACACAATATTCTTAACTGCCGACCCGTCGTCCCACCTAATTTCAAGGGTGAAATTTATTTTAATGCAATACACTATCTTCACTATGCAATATACTATAGCCTTTGCGATATTATTTTAATAGCGATAAAGTATAGCCTGCATGTGCAGCCTTTGCGACTCATGAATAATGTAGCTTTCAACAGATGAAAGATATTTCAAAATCGGTTCCGAAGTTCCAGCAATTATTTCCTACAAACAAAATCACAAACTTTACCTCTATTAGTACAGAAAGATTTCAGATATTGCATTTCTACTTTAAGTCAGTAGTAAACTAGCCTGCTATCAAAATAATTAACGAATAATCTCCATAGGTCGTGCTGCAGTCAAACCTCGATAATAAGGTAGGAAGGATAATCGTGATTCGTGACAGGTACCAGTTTCTTTTACCATAAAGAAACCCATGGAAAGTTAACTTGCAATCATAACATAAATTCATAGAGAAGCTCCTTTCCGTTCCCTCGCTATAAGCTTGGCAATGCAATATAATTCATATTTATAATTTAATGAAGTTCTGTATAAAATTACAAACACCTTCCTTCAAAGAACCCTTTTTATAGTGCTGGTAAAAAAAAGCATCACGTGTAGATACTGAGAGTTTATTTACTATATTAAATTCTATATTAAGCCCGTCACAGACGTAGCTATAATATATATTAATATATCGAAATATATATTATATTATAGCTAACTACCACAGACGGGAGCTATACTATAATATATATTTTGACCTCACTCGGTCTGCGGTCGTTTTTGCAAGCGCACGGTTTTAAAGCTTATTTTCTAGCACAGGGTGTTTTAATTTTGAAATAACGTTATAATCGATATTACCGAAATGAATTCGAAAAGAGCACTACTTTTAGATTTAATTGAAAGTTCCTCAGAGGATGATTCCGATGCTGAATTTGATATGCATGTTGCCTTGTCAGGAACGAAAAATAGAAGTTGAACATTCCGTATTATACTAATATGCCAAAATATATCCCGTCACAGACGTAGCTATATATATTTATATATCGAGATATTATATTATACAAACTACCACAGACGGGAGCTGTACTATCTATACTTCTGTACTAATATTAAAAAGCTGCAGAGTTTGTTTGTTTGTTTGAACGCGCTAATCTCTGGAAGTACTGGTCCGATTTGAATGATTCTTTCAGTGTTGGGTATTCCATTTATCGAGGAAGGCTATAGGCTATATTTTTTTCTTTCAAAATTAGGGATCCGTAATAAAATAGCTATTTTGTAACACAAGGTGTAAAATCGAAAACCTATTTTTGCGTGCGCTGCAAAAACTATTGACAATAGAACAAAATGATGTACTACGGGTTTGTAGATCCCATTAAGACCTACAAAAAAGTCTGCGAGAACATATATCTAGCTATCATGGTTTAATGACAATAACCGATTTTGTGTTCAAAATAATTATTACATCGTCTGAAGAAAAAAAACTATGTTAAATATGTATCGTAATATTAATATTTATCGAAATTAAGCATTATGTTATCAAGAGTATTTATGTAGAAGTAAAATACTTTTTGTTTCATCTCAATCGGATATTTCGTTTAAAAGTTATCACGTGTGTAAGATGTTAAGAGTTGGTACCTATTAATGAGTTATGGGCCATAGAGTTTTTTATTAACATAAAATCCTGTAATAATCTTTTTAGAAATATATTTGTTGATGATTGTAAGTATAAGATCTTTGAAGAGTATAATAAATACATTTCTAAAATAACTCTGCTAAGGAAATCCACGCGCGCTTGCTTGCATATTTTATCTCAGTATTTCCACGGAAACGAAAAAAACGCGGGTGAAACCGCGGGGCACGGCTATATATAATATATATTTTGGCAGGCATTCGGTGAAAAATGAAACATACCGTATCATAAAAATATATCGAAATATATATTAATATATCAAAATATATATTAATATACCAAAATATACACTAATATGCCAAAATATATCTGTCGACATATTTTGGTGACGTCATAGAAATATATATTATAGCTGCGTGTGTGGTCACTCGAAAATTTATATTAAAAATATGTTGTAATATGTCTTGCTATGATTCATATTAATATATATTATAGCTACGTCTGTGACGGGCTTTAGTTCAAAACTAAGAATAAATAAGTTCAACTGATTCATTGGGATGAAGGACAAAATATCTAATACTGCGCATTTACCGAAGTTATAAGATGTCCTGTTACGTTTCTTTTGCTTATCATCATCATCATCAGCCTTTTAATGTCCCCACTGCTGGGGCACAGGCCTTCCCTATGGATGGAATAGGGAGACTGGACCGTGACCTACCACGCGGGCCCATTTCGGATTGGTGGATGCTAACGACTGCAGATGCAGCCGCGACCAACAGCTTAAAGTGCCTTCCGAAACACGGAGGAGCTCAAGATAATAAGCTTTTTGGTCACCTATCCAATCATCAACCATTGCAAAGGTTGCTTAACTTTCATGATCGCAGGCCGAATGCGCTAACCACCTGCGCCATAGAGGTCCTCAACTTTTGCTTATCGTAGGTAAGAATAAAATTATTAAGTTTTACTAGAAGCAAAATATTAACAAAGTCGATACCAACCTTTAGACTGATTGTCTTAAGTTCCGCTAATAAGTATAGGTCCATGAAGTACTCTTGGCAAAACAGACACGCGCCCTTCCGTCGTCCATCGATAGTCGATGCCTGAAAACAGAAAAAATAACAATCATTAATATATTTAATGTACATACATGTATATTGTCATATTTCATCATCATCAGCCTATTAATGTCCCCACTGCTGGGGCACAGGCCTTGGCCTATGGATGGAATAGGGAGATTGGTCCATGACCCACCACGCGGGCTCAGTGCGGATTGATGGGTGCTAACGACTGCAGATGCAGCCGGGACCGACGGCTTAACGTGCCTTCCGAAGCACGGAGAGGCTCGAGATAGTAAATTTTTGGTAACCCATCCAATGACCGACCACTGCGACAGTTGCTTAACTTCAACGATCGCAGCCAAACGCGCTAACCACTTGCGCCATCGAGCTCCTCTTTTTCATCATCGCCATATTTAATAATACTTAAACATATTGATTGATGAAAGTTTGTGGCATGGCCATTTCGCTACATTTACATGGGCGTAAGGTGAAAAACGTATGCACTGCTCATTACATTTTAACCGAATTCAAAGAGGAGGAGGTTCTCAATTCAGTCGGTATAAGGGTTGCCACCTATTTTTTGTCGAAATAAAGTACATTGGATATTAAAGGTAGAAAAAAAAAGTACGTTGTGTCCAAAATAAAGTACTTTTTATTCCACTTTATTAGTAAGCTTAAGAATATATTTTACGTTGCTACTAACAACTTTTAATAAATAATTTGCGGCTACTGTACTTTTTTTCCGCAATGGGAAATAATAATAATAATCATTTATTTCAGACCGTATAGTCCATAGAAAAAAGGTAAATGATACGAATTCACACAGCCACGAAAATGTTGCAGGAATTAGCTAAAGACAACATATTCATACTTTCTGTCCGTTTTACGCAAAAATTCTTCCTATCAACCTCTTCTTGTATATTTTATATAAAATTAATCCGCGAGTAATCAAATCACATTAAATAAAGTATTTTCGCGTAATTTATTGTTGGCATAAAGTATAGAGTACAATTACCCGAAAAAACGTACAATACTTTATAATAAAGTACGAGTGGCAACCCTAGTCGGTATGTTTTTTATGTATGTACACCGATTACTCCGAGATTTTTAATCCAATAGGGAAGATGCATATATAATATTTATGAAAAATTTATGATTAAAATGTTAAAAAAATATAAAAGAAATGCCACTGCAACGTTTTTACACACATCAAAAGTGTCTAGGGATCAACATATATTTTTACAATAACTTTTCTCCTGATTGATATTAATTAAAATTTTCTTTAAGGATTCATCAAATAAAGTGTTTTCGTTTGTCACAGTAACGATAAACCAAGTCACCTTTGCATTAATAAAGAAATTTGCCATTTTCCTAATAAAGGGATTTTTGACATTTGAACCACTAACACAAAAGTTCGAAAAAAAGACTGAAATAACAGTTTTCTCTAAAATTTTATTGGGTAACTTAAACAATTAATAATCCGTATTTCTACCGCGAACACTAACAACACAAGAACATCGGTTTGGCATACTCAAAATGAGTTCATCCAAATCACGCTGTGGAATGGCCGCCCATGTTCGTTGCAACAACAAAAAAAGGTCTTCTTGCGACTGGATACCCTCCATATTCGGCAGAGCTCTTCTCTGTAGCATATCCCATGCATGCTCAATCGGGTTCAAGTCTGGCGACTGAGCAGGCCAGGGCAGGACATTGATGTTAGCTGCGGCGAGAGTCTGTCTTACAACTCTTGCGGTGTGCGGTCGTGCATTATCATGCATTAACTGAAATAAGGGACCGATTTGCACTTGTAGAGGAACGATGACGTCTGATACAATCGTCTCAGCATAAATTTGAGCGTTGAGGTTGCCTCTGATCCAAATCAACTCAGTTCTTCCGCCGATCCAAATACCCGCCCATACCATGATGGTTCCACCACTATAAGGATGGACTTCCTGGCAGGATTTTAATCGCTGTTGGCGTCCAGGGGTTCTCCAGTGTCGTATACGTCTTGTATCCGGTCTCATACCAAAACGAGACTCATCAGAAAAGCACACGAAACGCCATTGTTCTTCTGCCCAATTTCTGTGTTCAAGAGCCCATTGATATCGAATCCTACGATTGTGCATTGCTATAGGTGGTACCCGTAGCGGTCTTCGGGAATGAAGGTTCACTTCATGCAAGCGGTTTCTGACTGTTTGGTCGCTAATTAAGTTCCCTGAAGAGTGATGAAGCCTCACGGCTAACATCATGGCGGTTATTGTTGGAGCTCTTCGAGTTAAGATTTGAATGTATCGGTCTTGTCTCCGTGTGGTGCAGCGATACCGTCCTCCATGGCGCTCAGCCACGGTACCAGTGCTTCGGTATCGTGTCCAAAGTCGACTGATAACACTCTGACTTGTATTCAGAGCTAAAGCCACAGTACGTTGCCGGGAACCAGCTTCTATCATTCCCACGGCTCTGAGCATTTCTTCCCTGCTTAAATGACGTCGCCGCTCCATAATAACGTTGGTTTTAATCAGTAGTAGGGAAACAGTAGCACTAACAATGTCTTCAATGCGTTGTATGTTTTTATAGGGAAAATATTGACAGCTGATTTTCATCTTTTACTCGAATTTGATTCACAGTTCCTGATTCAAATTATGAAATGCACCAAAAAGGATCCATATAAATTTATAAAATCATAAATTTATTACAAAGCCACATCTCAATCTCAAGAAATCCGCATAAAAATGCTTGATCCCTAGACACTTTTGATGTGTGTATTTTACATAATGTTGTTTTTTAACAATTATTACGAATTAAAAATACTTAAAACGGAACGTATTTTAAAACACCAATCAGCGTTTAGTGACGTCACTCCTGTTATGACAACTTCTTTGAGGTTATAGTTGTTAAAGTAAATATTATTTTATGGGAATATTTATTGCATTTTTTTACATTTAATAAAAATGGAAGTTGCGTTTATCAAAGCAGACTCCAGCGTTGACATGGTTATAACTTTTTTTGTCCAAAGTGCAGAGTTTTTAACTGTAGAAATGAAAGGGACTAAATTACTACAGTATGTAAAACTCGTAGTTGTTAAACTTCGTATTTTATTCAGCGGCTTCTACAAATTTTACGGCGATAATGCAATCGGCTATGTCCAAATTAAAAGAGATGGAAAATTATGTACAGTAAAAGGTCGAGTTCTCCGGAGCATAAAGTACGTAAATAAGGTTATCGTGTTACAGTTATTTTAAATGAAACGCAAAGCTTGGTGCAGTCCTGCCAATGTGAAGATTGTGCCACACATTTTAAACTTTATCTAATTTTCGACGTCATTCTCCAACTGTAAAATTAAAAATATGTTATAGACAGGTTTTGTAAGTATTAGGTAGGTTACTAATGCGTTTTTACGTACAAGCAGATTAATTAAGCATATAACAAGTATATTCGCCGACTTACGTCAAAGTGATCTTCTCAGCATCGAATAAAGGTCTTTGGAGAATAATTGTCATTTCTGTTCGCAGCTTGAAACCACTTTGTTTTCAGTTTTGGGTCAGAAGTTCCAGTCAAAAACAATTTATTTGGGAACTTTGTTGAAGTAGATTGGCACAAAACATGAGTCAACACGGCTTTTTTTCGGAATATTAGTGGTATTGTTATGATCACATGATGTTGATGGATAGTCCATTTAAAATTTTTCAAAAAAATATTTCGAAAGTCGAAAAAATATGCAAAAGTATGAAAATTTAAAGCCAGGAACGAACAATTACGACCAGTGACAGACAGGAGTGACGTCATCGCAACCATAGGTTCGTTTCGCGCGAAAATTTAAATTGTCAATTTAAAACCGCATCTTTTCCGATAAATCACAATGTTATAATTTTTTAATATATCTGTGGTTTATTCTACATGGAATTCTTTAAAATGAAAACAAAAATATGTAAAAATATTGCATCTTCCCTATTTGCGTGATTCTTTTTTGCTCGATGCGGAATACTAGTTGACATTTGGTACTATAATTTTTTTATCTTATTTTGCCTGGTAGTTTTTATTTAATAATCACTTTTGTAACCTAGACGATGTAATTTTCAATTTTCACCATATTTTGTTTATATGTACACCGATTACTTAAAGATTTCTGGTCCGATTTGAGTGATTTTTCTTTTGTTCAATGGCAGATACTTGCCGTTTCGTTTCATGATAAAAATATTTAGATTGACCTAGAATGTTTTATTTTATGAGCATTTTTGTTTATTGTTTACTTGGATGGTGTAATTTTTATTAAATGGATGATATAAAAAAAAAACAAAAAAAACCGACTTCAAAATTTAAAATTATAAACTAAGAAGTAAAAAAACTGGTTCATGATTTGAAAGTCGGGCGAGGCAAAATGGAAACATGGAATAGATTTTTATTTCAGATCTTTATCGGTAACAATACGTCTTTAAAACTTGACCCCGCCCAACTTTTCATAAACCAGATATTATTTTTTAGTTTCATTATCGATTTTGATGTCGGTTTTATTTTTGTTTATTTCTTTTTATTTTATGTAATACCTACTTATTGTAGCAATGGAACGTCCAAGCCAGATATTTTGACTAAGCGAAGCTTGGTTCTACACAAGATCTGATAACTTTTTGACAGTGCGAGTCATACGGTCTCTTCTTGGCAATATTTAACATAATGTTTTTTGTGGGATTTTATTTCATTTTGTAAATTGCTCACTGTTTTTTTTTTTTCTTTTTTTGGGTTAATTTTTTTTTATATTTATGATTACAAGGAGTTCCTATATACATTTTCAGACCTCAAGCCTCAAAATTTAAGGAGTTTCATATAAAATTCCATCCCCTAGATTAAGCGGTTGGGGGATAAAAGTTACAAGTTTTGTATATTTTTTTGTTTGAGTCCTAATACTAGCTTACATACCAAATTACAACGTTCTAGGACATTAGAACTGAGAGTTTTGATGATCATCAGTGTGTCAGTGATGAAATCAGGTATTTTTTTTATCAATATCAGCAAAAGTATAAGAATTATGCAACTAAATCTTTATATGT